CAATAAATCATATCCAGTAACACATAAACTTAAAATCACACTAACATATAGGAAAAGCAGGCATGAGTACTCTTGAGAGGAGCCAGATGGGTCACTCTCACTGCTTAGGGTGCATGATATCTCTAAAAAGGCTGCTACAAAACAAATGCTGGACATGTTTATGCCTTTTACCCTTTTTCATGAAAGGCAAATCCTCTTTGGATCTCTTTCAGTCATCAAATATGGGTACTAACACAGGTTTTCTGTAAGTTAAGTGGCATAACAAGGAATAACAATAACTCAGTGTTTAAACCTCATTTCCCTCAAGGTTACACTTTACATAAATATGGTAAAGCATCAAAAGTAGGAACTTGGTATTAGCACAATGTAAGGGTACATTCTAGGTCACATTAGCACATGTGTCAATTCATACAACAGTTATGTGCAAACCCAGGAGAAAGCGATGATGCTTAAGACTACACTACAAGATCCAAAAGCAGAGAGAAAAAGAGCAAGAAGATTGAGAAGGATTTATTTACCTATGGATCAAAGAAGGGAAAGCTAAGAGGCGCACGGCTAAGAAAATGTATTGACTTGCCCATGACCAGATGCTGTCTCACCTACCCACAGACAGCGTTCCCTGAGCAGGGACCAGTTAGAAGCTCATCAAAAAGAGGTGGCCCCCGTTCAGGAAGCTGGGAGGCAGAGCCTGGGAGTTCCACCTTTTACACCTATGGACATTATCACTGGCTCGGAGGCTGTCATTAGTGTTGTTCTTAAGTAACTACACGATCTCTACTGAAATCAACACCATTCATTTCATCACCACGGACCTCACCTATGTGATGTTCTTTTTCCTCCTTGCATTGATTTTTAGGAAGCTAAGTCAAATTAGATCAGCTCTGGAAAAGTAAGCAGGATATTTGTTCAAAGTAGCCTCTCCTCTCTGGGTCTTCCCCTGCCCCTAACCACCCACTCAAACACACACTTCATAAGGATCAGTGAAGAAGGTACTTTCAAACTTAAGTTTCTTATAATATAGAGCAACTGACAAAGCTATTTAATATTTTCTGGTACCCAAGTTGCTGCTTGTTTTTCCTGTCCTTTCAGTATTTATCACATTCTCTTCTCTCATATTAAGGGAGGAAAATGCTAGCCACCTTAAAATTATTTTTGTAATGAGGTAGGACAAAAATAATATGGATATTGACATTTGCTTGAGACCTAGAATGTAAATTCAAGGCACTAGCTTTTTATTCTGGCTAGATATCAGATCACAATTAAATCTGCCTCAAACTCTCTGTTGTCCTGGTAACTGCTCTTTACTTAGAGAACATGGAGAATGAGATTGCCCAAAAGGATCTGGAAGGAGAGCAAGAGCTTATTAAGGAATTCTTTTTGATGTTCATAATCCCACAACAAGCAGTGCTAGACACACAGTTAGAGAAGACCCGTCCTTCAGGTTACCCCAATTATTCCCATGAATTCAGGCTTTGCTGCCCTTAGTGGCTGTGTACATTATAACAAGATTGGCAATGGCACACCCAAAATATTGGCAATTAATAGTTCTTTGGATAATCACTGATTGGAAATCCTCTTAAATGCATTCAACTCTAACAGACTTATTTACTTAGATCAACAGTAGCTGGGGGATTTCTTAAAGCATCAAATGGTATGAGTGGATAAAGATGGCTGTCAAGGAGTTACACAGCCTAGGGATTAGGGCCAACTGAACAACCGAACATCTCTAAGTCAGGAAGCAGCTCCCTGTTGTAAGATGAAGTGGGGACACGTCAGTCCTTAGGACTTGCACGGATAGCTCTGTGGCAGTTCATCTCTGATTGTACAAAGAAGGGTTTCCAATTTGCATAAATGGGACCTTGCAAATGCTGTGAGAGCAACAATATTTGGAGCAAAAATGAAGAGGAAGAAAATTTAAGTAGCAGTCATTTTTATTTTGGCTTAACAGATTTTAGCAGTTAAGACTCTGAATATGAATCAGCCTCAATTCTCAATCCTGAAGAGAATTTCTGAAGTAGCCCATAAGGTGTCACTTTAGTCAGAGGCAATTTTTAAAAAGCCTGGAATTGCAAGACAGAAAAAAAAAAAATCACAAAATTTGTTTGGACATTGTAGAAAAAAATAGTTACAAATTATGTTCACTCTATTTCCACATCCTTCCCGAGTCTATTTGATTTTCATCCTGCTACATAAAACTTCTTTTTGGAGATGGGAATGGGACAGGAGGGAGAGTGTACACAGTAAGAAGTGTATCTTAATTCAGACATGGCTTTTCAGGTCTTAACTGCGACCAGATATGTGTTACAGCTTAATAAAAGGGTCAAAATGGACAGTGCAGACCTCCCAGAAGGTGAATGATTCTTTCCCAGTCCTTCCTTGATAATTTGGACATCACTCCAAAAAGCAGACATTTGTTAAAAGTAACTTCTCCTCTCTGGTCTCTTATCCCCACCCTCTACAATCCATCAGGGTCTGCGGAGAAGGTATTTTCAAACGTCAGTTCCTGACAACATGGAGCCACCCGCAAAGTATCCGAAACATGGCTTTCCCACATGAAATACCAATAGAGGGTCCACAGATGCTTGGATTTCCTGCAGGCGCCACTTTTAAAGTGGCCTTTGCATCTTCTTCTAGCCTGAAAGAAAGCCACTTAATGATGCATAAAACTAATTATTATAAAATAAGACAAAATCTGTACGGTAGCTGTTCACCGTGTGGAAAATCACACTTTTTCATGGCCTATTTTCTTTTAAAATGCATGCCCTTTCCCCATCCTTAATGTGTTCTGTATATGTAAAATAAATACTCTTCGCAGCAGGACCCAGGCTCAGAGGCCTTAAAACCCAATAAGAGAGTCCTGTAGTTTAATGGTCCTTAAATGCTCGACATCTTTTTCACTTAATGTAAAATCCATCTGATCTAATAGCCGTGACTGAATGATAGATATATAATTTTTTTCTATTAAATGTTAATCTTCTGACTTGGCAGAGCAATAGAAGCTCTAAATTATTAAGAAGGCAATAACCTCTCTAAACTCTTGCCTGAATTCAGAATATTTCCAGGACTGCGATGTTGAAAAAAAAAGCAAACCTGTTTAAAATATAAAAGTTGGACTGTTTAAGTACAATTTGATTCCAAATATTGATTAAAAGGAGCATTATTTTTATTGATTTCCTATGACTTCCATGAATGGAGTGTGTACATTTATGTACGTGCTTGTACACACGTACACACATCCACATACATGCATGCCCACACACACACCCTCAAGGAAGCAACCCTCAGTCTTTTTCATTTACATATGACATTTTTGTAACCTTCCCTTTTTGGTTGCATTCATTCATCATCAGTGTTTATTTGTGCAGGCATAAATAATGAAAATGCCCTCTAATGCCTAAATGATGCCACATGCCCAATTATGCTAAACACAAGCATCCTCATGCCTGGGGAGTCTTCCCGGAATGCCATCTCTGTTGCAGCTTCATTGCTGTTCTCTTTTAAATCTCTACATTCATGATGCTTGTGAGCCAAAGGCCCACAGATGTGGTAACAAGCAAATCATGCTAACGAACACATTCACTTAACCTGGAAAGGCTGCCTTGAGTCTTGTTTCAAGCAGCCAAAGTCAAAACGTGGGGAAGAACAAAATTTCCAAAAATAAACTCTCAGGCCCAGTCTAGGTGAGGATATTGCTGAATACAAGAGCTGAAACGGCTGTCTTCTATTTTGGATTTTGCCGCGTGTATCTTATGGTATCATTTGCTTTTCTCTATTCTGAAAATTATACGTAATTGTTTTTCCCCTCTGAAAATTATTCACAGCACTTACAAGCCAGGAGTCAGGTCCAGGTTCTTTTTTTTTCCTCTGCCAGACGTGTGCAACCATATTTTGCATGCTCATCACAAGAATCCTCCTTCTATCTTTATTTGGTGTCAGAGGTACTGCCATTACTTTGATGCACAGAATTTGTAAGAAGAAAAAAAATATATCACCTCAAGATTGCAGAATCCAGTGATGTAGAAAATAAAAAGACAGTAAGAAATTGTTTTCTTCCACCATGGTGAAGTAGATGTCAGAGAAACTTGTAACCACCACTATGTAATGTTCAGCAAAGGTGTAAGCGGGCTTGGATACAATAAGTCACTATAGATGCCAAAATTTCATTTGAAGCCCTTCTCCTTTGAAAAAAGTAAGCTGAAAACATGAGTCAAGAAGCATGTATATGAGGACCATTTTTAGGTCCTTTTTTGGAGGAAAGCTGGGGGAAACACCGCAAGGAAAGGGCATTATTTTTAAAGTAGCAGTGATTCAGTGCATTTAGAATAACAGCAGATTTAAAACTGTGCAACACTGGTTAGGGACAAGAGAAAAAGTTTTAAATAAAGAGGAAGCCATAAGCTTCCACTTACGCTAAAGTCATCTGGATCCTAGAGCAGTGTAGCTATAGCTCATGATGACAGTCACTGTAATAGTGATTTTAAAGATGCGCATTGAATGATTATTTGATTATATTTTAACAGCTGTTTGTAATACTGAAGGAGCTTCTTTGATGAAGCAGGAGTGAAAACTAACAACAAGGTAGTCAAAGCTTTCAACAAAAACCCACACTCCTGTAGGAATTCAGAGATCCGTTCCGAGAGCGTGTGTACGTCAGTCAGCCCAACCTCCTTCCTTTTGGCCAATAATTCAGATCGCATGGTTCTTGTGAATACAGAAGAGCAGAGGGAAAGCATTGCCCATTCTACACCTTCTACTTGTTTACTATCTGAAAGGTTTCTGCCTTCAGTGTTTTGAAAGCAGTCTGTGCCTGGGATAGCCAAAAGTGAGTGAATAAGACACCGGGGTAAATTCAAGGCAGTTACCTGGGATGTCACTCTCTACAGCTGACCAAAACAGTTGTCAGTCACAGTTGGGGCCCCCACTCTCTACCCCACATTCTCCAAAGATAGTAAACAGACTAGCTTACCTTGGAAATCATTTACAAGGATTTCAAAATAATACTCCATAAAAATCAGTATTTTATTGATGGCTGAGGACAAAAAATAAAGTACACATAAAGTTCCCTTCCCACTCAAACTAAGGGAAATTCAACACTGAAATGTGAATATTCAGTTCAGAACTCTGTTCGACTCCAGTTTCAATGAATCAGAACTCAGGCTGTAGGACATTAAATATATATATTAAAGTATCAAAATATTGCTTATGTGGGCTGTGTATATCCACCTAAGAATGAAAAATAATCCAATGTGACTTTTCACTGTTGTTATTACACTGAAAAATAAAATTTATATATATATATGAGACATCTTATTCCTTGGTGTGAGGAGCTGTTTTTAAAGACCTTTTGACCTTGTTATTACAAAAATGAGATCAAAAATCTGGTTCATGATATTCGAAGATTAATATTAAGGCATATTTTGTAATTTAAAAATAAAGTTGGCTTAAATGACTCAATTGTTCAATTGATATGCTAGCCAACAAATTCATAATTTTCAGTCTGGAGAGTAAACAAGGTATTAATAAAATTAACAAAACATACTTTCCTTAATGAGTTGTAGTTAATACAAATGGTTGATTACACTGGAGTATTTACTCTAAACATGTCCAATGTTATTATGTTTTGCTATCTATATTCTTACAGATTACTATATTATTGCACTTTTGTCTAAAAACCTAGAGATGTTTTGTAAAATCAACTCTCAAATGATAACTGTGTAAGAAAATGGCATTTCACATTATTAATCTCGTTAGTACAATTTTCCTATAAATAAGTATGAAACATTTGGAGAATGCGTGTATAATGAGTGCTTGTTACTATAGTAGCAAATGTCAGAGTAATCGCTAAGAAAGAGTGTAAAATTTTGACACTTTGAAAAATCTCATATACCATTTATCATGGATCGCTAACACTGAGGCAAGAAAGTCTCCACAAGTGAAAATTCAGATAATGTGGTGGAAAGTAGAAGGCAACATTCATATTACAGTTCCTGACGTATCCCACCCCTGCCTGCCCCTAAATGTAATGTAGCACTGCAAACCATTTAGGAAAAGAAATAATTTTAAAAGGCACAAAAGTTACTAGCATAAGAAGAAAAAGATCTGTACCTCCAAAAGAAGTCAAAGACACTAAGTTACTTCAATAAGAATGCCACTTGGCCAGCCAAGTTCAGTACATTCCTTGAAATCACATTAGATTTCAATGCTGGAGGGAAGATCTGAAAGATCTTCTGATCCACTTAAAAGTGGCCACCGACCAAATTAATTTCACTCAAAGAAATGTCTGCAAAATGGTGCAACCTAACCCTCTCCAAATGGCTCGGTCAGATGGCTTGTTTTATCAGGGACTCGGTGGTTCAGATGCTGTCTTTTTGCCTACCTGCAAATTCAGCACATGTAGAATATGAGATTTGAACGGCTACTGAAACACTCAATATACTCAACTAACGTAAAAAACTACTGATTGGGCAAAACGCATTTTATTTCATTTATAGCAGCACAGTAGGCCGTGGAGCACACAGAACCCTCGGCACCGTCAGGGAGGGAGGCCGGCACCGTCAGGGAGGGAGGCCGGCGCCGCCGGGAGGGCCGCCGCTAACACACCAGCCCCTGCCGCATCTGTATGATCTGGAGCAAGGCCGCCTGCACGTCCTCGTCCATGTGGCCCTTGACAGAAAGCACAAACAGGAGAGACTGCATGAGAATTCTAAAGACAAAGGCTTTCTTCTAGGGCATAATTGGTTGTGATTCCCTAAACGCCAAGTCCCCACTCTCTCGGTGATGCTCTAAAGATTTTGTTGGAAAGGGCAGCAGGGGCCCTATCATGGAAATACAGTCAAGTTCAAGTTAGCGCACACCAATCGCTCTGAATATCTATTATCAGAAAAATTTATCTTTTTCTTTTTATGTAACAGCTCAGCTGATAGGGACAGCATAAGTTACCGATGAGCAAAAACAAACTGAATAAATTCTTTTTTGGTTCCTGCTAAGCTTCTTGTTTTCCTTTTAATTAGAAAAGTAATTAGTGGGGGAAAGTCCCTATTTTTTTTTTACATAAATAATGTCATATGTATTGTTTTACAAATGTGTCTTTTCACCTGTGCCATCAAAATCTTTCCCAAGTTATTTCCCTAATTTACTATATAATATTCCATTGTATGGCTGTAGCATAGCTTCTTTACCCATTTCCCCAATGATATGTGTGTTGGGTGTCTCTAATCTTTCGCTCATCAATAACTACTGGGTGAAAAAGCAGGTTCAATTTTTAATCTTGTTTAGTGTTTGCCAATCCCATAGGTGAAAATGGTGCTTCCTTATTTATGTACGTTTCTCCCATTGCTGGTAACGTTGAGATCCTTTTACATGAATATTAATCATTTATACTTAAAAAGAAACACTTCAAACTTGAAAAGATGGCCAGAGAGAGACTGGATGCAAAGCAATAGAATTGGTTATACTTAACCATCTCTTCAGATGCCTGCTCGCACACTAAAGCCCCCTGCCAAGGCACTGTAGTTCTCCACTCTATAGACTATGCTACCTCCCCAGACCCCTTTTAGGCCAAGGAAGTACGTGCTCTGGCCAAAAGACACTGCAAACTAACAAGCCTTTCAACTTTGTATAGTGTATGCTTCTGAAATGTGAAGCTATTTTCTACTGACTCCTAATGAAAAAATGAGCAATTGGCATATGAAATAGTTTTGCCTTCTTCTAGCTACCTAACGCCCTCTGGTAGCGTCAGGTTTATAATCAGATTTCTAGGGTTTGTTTTTGATTTGATCACTTTTTTTTGTTGTTCCTTTATAGTTCACATGTAAGTGAAAACATGCAATACTTGTCATTCTTCTTCTGACTTGTTTCACTTAACATTATTCCTCTCGCTCCATCCACGTTGTTGCAAATGGCAAAAATTCATTTTGATTTACTACTGAGTAATATTCCACTGTGTAAGCATACCACATCTTCTTAGACTGTTCATCTGTCCTCAAGCACGTAGGCTGCTTCCCTAATTTAGCTCCTGTAAATAGCGCCTCAATGAACGTTGTTGGTACGCCTATATCCCTTCAAACCAGTGTTTTTGCATTCAATCTGGAGCATATGGTAGATCTATTTTCAAAATTTTGAGAAAGTTCCATACTCTTTTCCTTAAGGGTTAGGCCAGTCTGCATTCCCAAAAACAGTATATGAAGGTTCCTTTTGTTTCACATTTTGGCAAACACTTGTTGTTTCGGGTCTTTTTGATCTGGGTTATTCTCACACATCGAGATGGCATCTCATTGGGCTTTCGAGATTTCTATTTCCCTAATGATAAGGAAATGATGTCTTCTTTGGCCCAATGTCTATTTAGCTGTTTTGCCCATTTTTTGATTGTGTTACTTATTTTCTTCTAGTTGAGTTATATGAGCTCTTTATAAATCTCAATTATCACTTCCTTGTCAGATGTATGATGTGCAAACATTTTCTTCCATTCTAAACTGAATTTCTTAGCTTTATGATGACAGAAGGCAAGACTATTTCAGATGCCAATTGCTCATTTTTTCATTAGGAGTCAATAGAAAATAACTTCACATTTCAGAAGCGTACACTATACAAAGTTGAAAGGCTTGTTAGTTTGCAGTGTCTTTTTACCAGAGCATTTACTTCCTTGGCCTGAGTCAGGTCTGAGGGAGTCATCCATCCTCTCTAACACAAATCTGTACTTTTCCACTATTTGCCCTCGTGAGCCTCACACTCTGCTGTCAATTGACAATTTTCTCTAGTAATTATAATGTACTTTCGAATCTGAATTTAACTTCTCTCTACTCAAATTAAGGTAGCTAGAGGTGTTTATAACACCATTCTTTCCCACTGGTTTTCCCTTCATCTGTTAGAAAAATGGCAGGCATTTGATTTTAAGTATTTAATGTCAAAATTTCCTCCTTTTTGTAATTTTAACTTGATCTTATTTTTAAGCTGTCCTTTCTTTGAAGTTCTCTCTCAATACTTAACTTTTTTTCAAACAGTATAGCCTGACATTTCAAATCCTAAATAATTCCCAAGATTGCTTGCCTGCCACTCTAACATTATCTCTTTATGTCTTCCTGAAAAATCTATGGAGAATTTTGGAGATGCTGATCTTAGCATCTCTCAGAACATTAAGTACAGCATCTTTCATATGTTAAATATTTAAGTGTGATTTATTCTTGTTAGAAAATAACCTTTTCTTCACACCCTACCCCAAAAGAAAATTCTTAATCCATGCTTCACTGAGTTTAAATTTCAATAAATAAATTTCATTATTGACAATCTCTTAACAAAGCCAATATTTTTCTGAAATTGTTACAATTCTGTATATACCTTATTTGACATCTTTTTTTTTAAGATTTATTTATGCATACAGAACTGGGATACAGGCTAGAGGTGCAGGGGTGGTGAGTGGATTCGCCAGAGAAAGAGTGGGGTGCAGAACAGGCAGATCGACGAAGTACACTGCTGAGGGGAACAGTGGGTGGGTCAGGAGAGGTCTGCCACACCATGTGGGTCACCTCTGGGGAGCGGGATCTAACTCATGTGAAGTGGCTTTAGCTTCTTACTGCTGTGTTTCAACCCACAGCACCACTGGGAGGGCCCTGACATCTTTTTTTTAGATTTATTTACTTATGCATACAAGAACTTGGGTGTAACCCACAGGTGTTGGGGTGAGAGGATTCACCAGAGACTGAGTGGGGAGCAGAACAGGTAGATTGACTGAAATACACTGCTGAGAGGAGCAGCGGGCGGGACAGGAGAGTTCTGCTGTGCCATGTGGATCAGCTTCCTGGCTGGGGATCAAACTCTTGTGCTGCAGGGGCTGGCGATAGCTTGCTTATGTAATGTCTTTATGCCCTTGCACCACCAGAGAGGCCCGTCATTTTTGCACTTTTACAGTATTTTCTGTTAGCCTGCCCGGGCAATGCAGGGGGACCACAGGGCGCCCTGACCTTGTGGTCTGCTGATAGCATCCAGGAGGAAATAGTCACCATCACAGGACTCTGCCCACACTCCTGTTTCTGCAGATTGAGGGTGGCCTGGGTCTTGTCTGTGCATTCCATCTTGGCTGCTCTGAGCTATGACTTTCCCTCTCTCTACTACTCTTTGGTATAAATTCTCTCCCTACACTCCCTTGTTGCAGCCCCTCCTTCCTTGGAGTCCCATCTGGCACTGGTCCCAATAAACCTCTTTTCTCTAAGACTGTTCGTGTGGGCTCCTTTTGGCAACACCTTACACGCTACATTTCAAAAAATGGCCCTGAGCAAGTAAGAAGCAGTGAGTGCTCCCTATGCTCCTCTTGTAGCTGACAGCTACAGGTGGATATTCAGGCAGCATCTCCAGTCAGCAGCATCATTAGTGACAAATGGTGTCAGATTGTGCCAAACTGCGAAATGAGTGTCAGGACATAAGACTACATTTAAGACGGTGTAAAGCACGGCTTTGTACATTTCTCTGGCAAATATACAAACCATGACTACAAGAAACACAATTATGTTTAGTAAGCATATAGGGCACAACTATTTAAACACCAATGATTTTCATATAAATGTACTTGAAAATAAAATATATATATATTTTCTCTAAAACCATCTCCTTTCTGAAAGACAAATTCTTTACCTGTGCAGCACTAAGAAGGTGTGTCCGATAAATTGCAATTACTTCTTGGTGTTGTCTGTCAGCATCCTAGAAATGTTGAAAGTTAGACAGATCAGAATACCAGCAACATACTCTCAAACACTATGACAATGTTGTCCTCGGGCCTATTACTAGAAAATAGTACTATTAAGGTGTTCCTGCTTTTATCTGACCACCTTGGACCAAGAAGATGCAGAATTCCATAAAATAAAAATAGCATAATCTTTTCTAATGAATGTGTGGGAATATTCTTAGTAAAGGCACTGCCATATATCCTAGGTCACAGGAAACTTGCTCTAGTGAACACCTACTGCAGACCCTCACCAGTGAGGCTCCAGGTCTTGCTAATGTTGCCTATTTTATCCCCCTGTCTCTAGACCTTATTCCCTAAATAAACGCTTGACCTGAGGCAGGTCTTTCCTCATGTCACTTTTAGCTTAAAATCTTTGAGCGAAGATAACTCTTCAAGATGAAATCCAAACTCATCACCTCAGTTCTCAATGGTCTCCAGAGTTTGGTCTCAAGACATGCCCCTGGGGCATGCCACCTGCATTCACCTCCAGGCTTTGCTTCACAGTCTCCCCTTTGCCTAAAAGATTCTCTATTGTGCTCTCACCTAGCAAAAGACCATTGATCTGTAAGTTTTTGTCAGGTACCCCCTTCTTCTAGCTCCTTTATAGCACAGCAGGTATCTTTCTTCCCTGGTAACTCAGCACACTTACACTGGGAAAGTATTTTCAGTGCTGCATCGGATACTTTTTGTCTTGTTATTTTACTTCTCACAGATTTATATTTTACCTCTCAAACCACCCAAGAACTCCCTGGGCACAGAAACTGTATGCCTGCTTTATCCCTGACAGGATGTAATACAGTGCCATCAACATAAATAATAGTCAAATATATTTGCTTATTGAAGAGACTACCATATCCTTTTGATAAGGTTGAAATCAACATTAACCTGTCAAGAATGTTATAAAGTGAACACTTTAAAATAACTGCCTTCTATTAAAAACAACTCATAAGCAATTTGCTCAGAATAGGAAAATATTAGCAACAATTTACATTTGATTGGGCTATGCTTTACTGAATATTTCAATATATATTAGCTCATTCAATTAAAAAAATCAAACAAACAAGTAATCAGTTCTGATGATCCTATTTTATGGATAAAGAAGCCATGGATAAGGGCAATGTTGGAGTATATATAAAGTATAAAACCACAGAAAATGACTATCTTTACTCACAAGGATAAAAGATTATTTTTTAAAAACCTTCTGGGGTTTAGTGGGCCAATATTTTAAAGAATGTGCTGCAATGGGAAAGATACCAGAGGCAAGCAGTTCCAGAATTTAATCCTAACTGCAGGAGCATAGGCACTTTGTTTCCTTGCAAATTTAATGGGGGAAATTAAACCTTGTATAATGGTAATGAAGACCAAGATAGAGCTAAAGTATTAATAATTAAATAAAACATTTGAGGCAGTGCCTGACATATAGTAGTCACCAAGCTAATACAATACTGTTAGCATAATAACTTTTACCAAAAAGAGATTACATCCTTGGATCTGAGTACAGCCCCAGACCTGGCTGACTTGGAGATAAGCATGCCCAGACCCCGCAGGCCCACAGCAGAGCCCAGTGGCACTCACAGCCAGCTGCTGGTGGAGGGACTGCAGCTGGTGCTGCAGGGTGGCAATCAGCTGGCTCTGTCTCTTGCTGGGACTCCCGCTCCCATAGGTGAGCTGTGAGAGGCCATTGAGTGCCTGTTTCAGCCTTTCCACATCATTAAGCAGTTCAGTTATCTGGTAAAAAAGAAAACAGTTGTGGAAAAACATAGGTTATATACTTCTTCACTTAGCATGAACACCTTCACACAGAAATCATTCCTTGACATATATTCCAGAAATGGAGAAATGAGTGTTGTCCAAACAGTGGCTATGCAGTACATATACTCCGTGATCTAACTTTTTTCATCCCTCTCAGTAAATTCCTTTCAAAAGCATTACTAAATTAAGAGTAAATATGATGTGTATCCTAAGATCAGACTGTGGGCTCAGGCTTGTGAGGTAACATGAAGTACCCCAAGAAAGTACACAGATTATCTTCTAAGTCAGTTGTAAAATTAGGAAGAGAAGGAGGAATTTATTCTAACAAACCCTGAAAAGTAAAAAAGCATGTTTCCTGTAAGTCTACGTAAGTCTAACTCCTGTCCTTGTTCCTTTTGAAGAATATATAATGTTGACTATTTTGTTTTAAAGAGAAAAAAAAGAGGCATTTCTAGAGCAAACACTGTAGTATATAGGCAGATCTGAGGTTCGTTAGCTGTGTGAATTTAGTTTTTTTTTTTTTTTGAGGACTTATACTACTTTATTTCAAGATGTACTATAGAATTGCAATTATCAAAAATAAGGTCATACTGGCATAAGGAGATCTTTACTTGTAGAAACTGAACTTAGATAATTTTAGCAAAGTCTTTCCTAGTTAAGATAGTCACTTATTTATCTTATAATCATTTATTAATTATGATTTATCAATTATAATTATCTGCCTGGCATATGCCCCTAAATAGCAATGGGTTTATATATATATAACTTGCTACTACCATTACATCTCCCTGTGTTCATAACCACCTTCTAAACAGCAAGCTGAGAGTATTTAACTTCCAAGTTATATGGGCAGACATGTGAAAAAGGCTAATATTTGCAGCACCCACTGAGGAGGGCCAGGGCTGGGTCTGTTATCACTGTATCCACAGAACTGAGTATAGAAAGCATTTAAGAATCATTTGTTGAATGGATAAAATTATGTCAGTCTCTCCAATTTCTCATTTCTAATAGCACACACTTTATGCAACTACCAGTTTCAAAAATAGTGTTGCACATATCCCTATAAGTGTGCACTGTGAGAATGAACCACAAGAAGGAACGCTAAATCCCAAACCTGCTCTTAAAATCTGGCTGAGAGGGTGAACTACATAATTCTGCCATGGCTACCATAGGTATGCGTTAAATGAATGGCAGTCTCAAACAAAAGATGCATTTTGAGGCCCTCCCTGGTGGCTTCAAGCACTGCAAGGGAGCCTCAGCCTCTTTAGTGGGAGTTCGATCCCTGTCCCCAGAGGTGACCATATGGCGAGGCAGAGCTCTCCTGACCCACCTGCTGCTCCCCTCAGCAGTGTACTTTGTCAATCTTCCTGTTCCGCTCCCCGCTCTGTCTCTGGTGAATTCTCTCACCACCCCTGCACCTCTGGCTTGTACCCCAGTTCTGTATGCATAAATAAATACATCCTTTAAAAAAAAAAAGGTGCATTTTGGAAGAGGCACCGATTACTGCAGGCTCAATTGAACAGGAAGGCTCTGAGAAGGGAAAGTGGTGCGTGGGCACTAAGAAGTACAGATTGATTTAGGCAGGCGGGAGGCAGACATTCTGAGTGAGGGGCCATTTGTAGAAGGATGGGGGCACAGAGAGTGAAGCCTCAGTGTAGAGATATGGGTGGAAACATTTTTCCCTCTTCTTCATCATCTTTCTTCAGGTACCCTAAAACCCAGTGAATTTTGACCGTTCTTTTAAAGTGAGCCTGGAGCCCTTCCCTATCCCTACACCTCCATCCTTGTTTCCCTTGAGGAAACAAAGGGAAAGTGCTTTTGATTTTTCTTTGTGTGACTTTTTTTTTCTACTGTACTTTTCTTTTTCCCATACCAGTCCTCAGACTGGAAAGATGTCCTTTAATGGCTACATTGTTAATGCTTTTGTAAACCAGTGCAGGTATCTGGGGTTTCCCACACAAAAAATACAGACTACTAGGGCCTACCTTATTATCTTTTGCTTCAATCTGGTTAGCAGATTCCTGTATCCTTCTCTGCAGCTCTGTGATTGTGGATAAAGACTTGTTGCACCGCTCCTGCTGATCCTGGATTTCTTGCTCAATGTTGAAATGAAGCAATTCTTTCTCATCTTTTGTACCCAGTCCCTTCATTTGGGCCTGCAAAACCTCCTCACATACTTTTTCATATTTCCTATTCAGATTGGCTAATTTTTCATTTAAGCTGGAAATCTGTGTCTCCAACTCACTTTTCGTTGCTTTGTATTTAGACAAATCAACTGCCTCTCTGGTCTCCAAATTTTTTAACGCTTGTTTAGTATTCTGAACCTCAGACTGGAGTTTGGAGACTTCTTCCGTTTTATTTTGACTTTCCACTTCTTTTTCTCTCAGACGAGCTTTTATGATTCCGACTTCTTTCTCAAATGCTTCCTTAATCTGCAGGTGCTCTGCCAGGGGCACAGAAGAGTTCTTCTGATTCTCCAGCATTTGCTGCAGTTTGATTGCTGTCTGCTGCTCCTTCTCATAACACCTTTGTTTATTCTTCAGTTCTTCCTTTAGATTCTCAATTGTGTCATTAAGAGACTTTTTTAGGGCCTCAACCTGTTCTAATGGTACGTGCTGTTTCTGCATAAGTGTTTGTGCAGCAAGGATCTCAGAAGTCTGCTTGGCATTTTCCTCTAGCAGCTTCTCCTTCTCATTCCTTACCTCTGTGTATTTCTGTAACAGGTCTTTTAACTGTCCGTTTAGCTCTTCTATTTTTCTGTTTAATGCTCTTTCCATTTCGTGAGAATTCTCAACGAGAACATTCTTATCCTTTAAGTCCTTCTGAAGAGTGAAAATCTCTTCCCTTAACTTGTCATTCTCTTGCTTGCACTTCTTGGTCTCTTCTTCCCTGACATTATACTTACGTGTCTGCTCTGATAACTGTTCTTTTAGTTCTTTCTCTGATGCTTTAAATTTTCGCTCACACTCTTCAAAGCTGACAATTGGTGCATACTTTAGCTTAATGCATTCTTGTATTGTGTCAAGTTCCTTTTTCTGGGCTTCAATTTCAGCATGCAGAGTCACAATCTCTTCTTGGCCTTTCTTGTACTTAGCCAGTACTTCAGCACTATCATCCTGCATCTTTTTCATGTTCTGACTCACAGTACTCATCTTTTCTTCATGTTCTTTTAGGCTGAGGTACTCAGCTTTGATTTGGTTTTGAACATTTTCCAGATTTCTTTTTAATATTTCATTTTCACCTTTTACCTTTACAAATTCTTGATTTACATCTTCCAGTTTTTTCTTCGCCTCCAGTAGTTCTCTGTTAGTTTTATCTAATGTGAGGCTCAGTGCCCTTTTAACCTCTTCATGGGCTTTAACCGGCACATACTGGAGACTCATAGTCTTTTTCAAGTTAGTGTTTTCAGAGTTGAGTGAATGGATTTTCTCTTGGTCTTCACCACATTTTTTAGTAAGCTCAGAGAGCTGTTTATTTAGTTCGGTGATGTTGGATTTCAGAGCGGTGACTTCTTCATGTTTCTCAGGAGGCACCAACATACTTTCCAGGTTACTAACATTTTTACTTAAACTGTCGTTTTCCATCAGCAATTTTTCCACTTCCAATTTCTTTTCTGTGTACTTTTGCGTTATATCCAAAAGCTTTTTATTCAGATCATCAACAACTACACCATGCGACTTTTTCATTTCTTCACTTACTTTTAAAGGAACATAGTGGTTTTTCATCTCAGTTGTTACAGTATGTATTTGTTGGCTGAGGACTTTATTATCTACATAAACCTTCTCAATTTCTTTTTGTAGTGTCTGATTTCTTGATGTTAACTCGGTGATCTTCTTCCCCTGTTCACCTAACTTTTGCTCTAACCTATTCTTGAGCTGCTCGTGGTCCTCAGGTTTCACATGCTGAGCAAGCTTACCCTTACAGTTTTCCAGTTCTTTCTTTACCTGACTGATTTCACTAAGTGATTTTTCATATTCTCTTTCGAGCTCCACTATTTTTTTGGCTTTCTCGTTTATCTCACCAGATAATAACCTCTTCATGTTTTCAAACTTTTCTGTTGGAACAGCAAGGGCCAACTTTGCTAACAAATCTTTTACCTGGCTTTCCATCTCTGTGGCCTTTCTCCCCCTTTTCTCACACTCCATTTCATACATGCTAAATTCCTTCTGCAATCGCTTATTTTCTTCTTTCAGCTTGCCTTCATCCCTCTTAAACTCTTCGACTAACATCTCACTTTGCTTGATTTGGTTTCTTAATTTTCCCACCTCTGCTGAGGCACCTTCATATTTGGCTTTCATGTCTTTCAGCTGGTCCTTGAGTTCCTCTGTGTGTCTGTGGCTCCCCATGGCGGCTTCATTGGTCAGGTGCTCCTTCAGGGCAAGGAAATGCGTCTGCATTTGTTTCACTTTACCTTCCGACTCATACATCCTCTTCTGTACATCTTTTAAGGCATCTTCTAATTGCTTTATCTGTTCATCTGAATCCTCCTTGACTCTTTCACATTCTAAAGCTAAAGCTTTGCATTCTGCCACCTTGTGAGCAAGTTCATTCTGGAGCTTGAGCCGATCCTGTTTTGCTGAGTCACAGAAATGCCTCAGTGTTTCTATCTCCTTCTTTAAAATTTCATTTTCAGAATATGAGGTTTGATTGGGTAAGGACAGTTCCAGTGGCCTCAACATAGATCTGCTTTGCATATGGGCTGTCATACCTGGGGAAATACACTGAGAAGGGGGAAAAAATCCATTATAAAAGCCTAAAGAAAACACCAATTTGCCAAACCATGCAAAGTTTCTACATCATCAGTAAAGGGTTTTCAGACTGGTATGCTGGAAGAATATAGCACTGATATTTGAAGTCAGAAACAGTTCTGGGTATAATTTCCTTAATAGGCTCCCAGTGACATTTCCAAAATCTGTTCACTTAGGTGTACTTCTGTCAGAACAAAGATGGAAGACAGCTTTGCCCTCTGGATACTATTTTTTCTTCCTTTTCCCACTAATAATACCTACCCATACATGAACATCAACTTCATCAAACATATTATTCATATGTGTTATGGCATATCATTTACTTAGAACTTCAAGCTCTGAAGATATCAGAATCCTTGAACTAAAAATGGGTATAATTTTAAATCTACCAATAATTTTATGCAATGATTATATTATATAATTTCTAATAACATATATAACACGACTTCTGAGTACCTCCATTAACTCCAATGGAATGGAAACACCATCAAAATAAACCCAGTTAGCATGACAGCTGTCGACAAAATGTTAGTCAATTCACAAAAGGAAACAAGTTTTCCCCTCTCAAGTATAAAGATTAATTAGAACTTAGCTGATGACCTCAATACAAAATTTGATTTACAGTTTGTCCCTCTCTTAAGTGTTGACAAAAAAGTATAATTAAACTTACATAAGTATTCATAAAGAAGAGAATATATAATCATGAAAAACTAAATTTAACTATTTCTATTTTCCCAACATAGCCTATAAAAGGCTCTTTATTAGCACTACTTCATTAATAAAAGCCATGGGCTATGAGTATATTGCACTATTTTAATAGACAGATTTAAATTGAAACTGCCTTTCTGTGTATCAAGGAGAAAAACATTAACAGCGCGGAGTAATAAATATCCCAGTCTTACTGTGCTTCTAAACTGCCTTTCAACTTACCAATTATCTTTAGACTAAGACTGCTATAATTTACCAACAGATACTTACACAGCTTTGCAATTTCCATATTTCTCTTATTACAATCAAATATTTATTTCATCTTAAATACTGTTCCATTTATATCCATTTTTTCTACCTAGATGCTTACAAGTTTCCAAATTAAAGCAACCTCAAACATCACGCAAACTAATTCACTCTGCCTACAGATGAAGGTTTGTCCTTGGAAGCTCAAATATTTTAGTCATTCCTGTTGTTCACAGGAAGTGTTAGAAAAGCAAACTATGTACCTACCTACTGAAAATTAAAAGTAGGAACAGACAAACAAGTAGGAAAATCAGACACCACCACCTCTTGGCAGCTTTATTTGGAGGTAAAGTTCCAAAACACAGAATATATACGTAAATGTAAGGAAAGCATATCTCAAAGTCAAAACAAAAGACTATTGAATTATTCATATATGTCTGCCTCTTCATATGGGCAAACATGAAGAGTTAACCAATTGCTGTTACTGAATAAGGTTTACTATCACAGACAATGAAATAGTAATTCAAATCTTTTATTTAAGTCACTGTCATCAAAAACACTCTAGAGGGCACCAGAAACAGCAATGTTTGCTTTTGTTAAACTAAACACAAGACCAACTTTCCTTTAATAATAAAATTTTAATCAGTGTATATATGTAAAGAATAGTATTACTGTTACCTGTGAATCTTTAGTGTACATTTGACCTTGTTTAAGAAGCAGATCTTCTTTTCCTAAATAAGTCCAAACAAATGATATCTTAATTTAAGGTTTCATACCACAGGAGGTTAAATATTAATTTGGTCTTTACTATCCAAACAAAAGAGAAGCATGGATTACATTTTGAAATGGCTCTTGTTCTAAAATATCCATATTTTACCTTAATATTTCTATACCATAAAGAAAGTACTTAGATTCAGAATACTACTAAGTAGATTTTTAGAAGTATGTAAGACTGACTAAAAAGCTTTGTGATAGTTATAAGTATCTTTACATCATCAAAAAAATGGTATTTTTAGCCTAGAAGATAATTCAATATTCACTGGGAACAAGAAAATAGCTCTTCTAGCAAAATTGTTTAAAGCTGAAGAACTGTAAATACTCTCTTAAAATTAGTCATTGTTTATAGTACATCTAACAGTTTTACATGTTTGATTGAGACTCTATACAAAGATTTCTCCATAAAAAGCAAGCCCCAAATATTAAAAGATAAATATCTGCAAGTTGATGAGGCAAATTTGGTAACTGATATCATATGCAATTTAAAAAGTAGAGAGAGTTAAAGAAACTCAATCTACATGATAAACAGATTGTATGTTAAGAGGCTACAGCCGTGACCTTAACCATGACCTTAACCTCCTCCTAGGTCTAGGTGTTGAGCTGTAACAACACAAATAGTTGAGTGAGATTTAGCAGCAGGAGCTTCATATTAGACGAAATAATAAGCAGAAACATTCTTCTTTGCTTGAACTAAGTAAAATGAAATTAGAAACTATATTTTTATACTTACTGTTACTGAAGTGATTTCCTGATCCTAAATGATCACTCTGAAATCAAAAGTATAAATTAAAACATTTTAGTTGAACACGGCTTCATTTTGTTAAATTCTGCCTCTATTTTAGCTCTAAATGTTCCAGTCATTAAAACCACATTTTCAACATTCCTTGTTTCTCCTGAGTATTATTCTACTTGAACCCACAAAAAGATAATAGCGCTAGCAACAATTAGAGAGATCAATTGGGAATAAACTACTTCACTAAGCATTTTAATAAAAGCAGCCAAGTGTTTCAAGGAAAAGCCTTACTACTCAGAAAGGGAAAAAAAGCAAACTACAATGGAACTAACTTTCCATGCATTCTGCTTTTTTACCTCAAAGGGCAGGAAATGCCAGTCACATGAGCTGCTCATTTTACGCTACACTGTTGGGAGATGGGACCCTTCCTCACTGACTGTGTAGTAGTGCATCCCCTTCTTTCAGAACTTTAGAATCCCGATTAATTTGGAAGGCAAATGGAGACAGAGAGTAGGAAATGGAGCTAAAAGTAAAAAGCTACCACACTGATAAATCCATCAGTGCATCAGGTCAGAACAGGTGAATAACAGAAGCATTTTGGATACCCAAAGCAAAATGTATTTGGATTACTTCTTTTCCCAAATACGCCACACCCAAAAATCCAACAAATCTAAACATTACACTTCAAAAATGAAGATACACAGATTAGTTCATGTTTGTGTATTTGTACTAACAATTATATATCCAAATCTGATATATTGACCAAGGTCAAAAAGATCCAGAATTCCCTAACTATGAATGCCACCTCACACTAATGATGGAAAAGAACCATAAAGTTAGTCAAGCTCCTTGTCTGTGTAATATTTACTAACAGATTTTGCAGTAGTTACTAAAAGAGCTTATACAGGACAGATAGGAGGAGGCTTATACACAGAAGAGGTCGAAAATTTTAGTTTAAGCATTTTACCTTTCCTTGATGACTGAGTGGAAAAGGAATACATGAGTTCTAAGAAAATTAGTCTCACCTAAAATATTCATATTTCTCTATAACATAAGAAAAATGCCTACAGATTAAGTATGACATAGAACACAACAATTCTGGTGGCAGTATATGAAGAGTTTTGTGAAGTTTGTGAGATGATACAGTAGGGACATTCAATTCAGTTCAGCTACAAATGGTGAATTCTTATTTTTGAATGGCTGCATTCATATATACTGTCATATAAAAGTGGGTCTATATCTTTTTTTTTTAAGTAAAAAGTTATTTCTAGTGAAACAATTCATCACAATGCACATTATTGGCTGGGGAAAATGTTGAGTGAAAAAAATGAACAGAACAGACGTGTGATCTGACCGCACATATGGAATGTGGACATGACAAGTCACGGCAAAAGAGGGTCTGTGAGGCTACTAGGCAGGTGTAGGAGCGCCAGGATCACAGGTGCTTTTGCTTTATGCCTTTAAATAGATGTACTGATTTTTCTAACTGAATATATAGCTTCTATGATTTAAAAAAAGTTATTTTCCTTTATAATAACCTCATTGAATGTTTTAGGGTTCACTCTCCTTAAAACTTAAAAGTATACTCTTAGAAGAAAAGTACTATATAAATAGCACCCAGCTATAGGTGCCAAACTTTCATAAATCCTACAAAGAACAAATACTGATGTGCTCTGAGAGTAAAACTAATATTGTAGTGAACAGCACAGGGAAGAAAGATTGCCTGGGTTCAAGTTCAGGTTCAAGCACTTCCTTCTTATAAAACTTCTCATGGGCAGATTAGAAAGATGTGGTACATATATACAATGGAATATTACTCAGCAACCAAAAAAGAGAAACACATGTCTTTTGCAGCAACTTGGATGGAGCTGGAAAAGATCATGCTTAGTGAGATAAGCCAGAAAGAGAAAGAAAAATACCGGATGGTTTCACTCATAGCAGGAGTATAATGGACCAGGCGAGAAAATAACAAAAATAATGAACAACCATAGACCAGAGACATTCTGTGGGGGTGGAGTGGGGAATGGGATCAAAAACGGGGGGGGGAGGGAAATGCACGGAACTATGGTGGTGGCACAGGGGTGATTTGGTGATGGGAAACCCGTGGGGATTACAATTGAGATGAAAAAAAATGTGCAAAATGATGTAAAAATAAATTAAAAAAAAAAAAAAAAAACAACTTCTCATGGGCAAAGCCTTCTAAGCCTGTGCCCTTACAAGAAGAATAAAAAAGAGCTGTCAGAGAGAGTTGCCCTGCCTATCCGTGCATGGTGTACACCGTACAGTGGTGTCTGGCACACGGTTGGTGCTGTGATGATGGCTATGCCTAGCTTCACCATTAACCTTTTAAAATTCTTCCACTGTGAAAAATGAGCTACTAAATTGAATTATTCGTAGCTTATAAACTTGTTTTTTAAACCATCTTCATGGTCCTGGGGATGCAAAGGGCTAAAGCACAGCATTGTGAAACTCTCTGCAGCCACTGCAGCATGAGTTTGATCACTGGTCAGGGAGGTGACCACATGGCGCTGCAGACCTCTCCTGACCCGCCGCTGCTCTCCTCAGCAGTATACTTCAGTCAGTCCTCCTGTTCTGCTTCCCACTCTGGTAATGGTGAATCCTCTCACTCCCTGTACCTCTGGCCTATACCTCAGCTCTTGTATGCATACATACATTTTTTTAAAAATTTACAGCCTTCTGGCCCTCCCTGGTGGCACAGCGGGTTAAAGCACAGCACAAAGAAGCTAAAGCCACTTCCGCATGAGTTCGATTCCCGCCGGCCGAGGAGGTGACCACATGGCGTGGCAGACCTCTCCTGACCCGCCCACTGCTCCCCTCAGCAGTATACTTCATCTATCTGCCTGTTCTGCTCCCCGCTCTGTGTCTGGTGAATCCTCTCACCATCCCTGCACCTCTGGCCTGTACCCAGTTCTGTATCCATAAATAAATAAATTAAAATAAAATAAAAAAATAAATAAATAAACAGCCTTCACAATCAAACCCTATAACCACACTATTTTTGTTTTATTAAAATGTATCAAGACATAATTCACTCTCAGCAAGTACACAAATGATATGTGTACATCTACCTTGCACCATCACAGCCCAGATCAAGCTATAGAACATTCCTAGCACTTCTAAAGCTTCTTTATGCCTCACCCTAGTCATGCCTAGTCTTCATGCTACCACCATACATTAATTTTGCCTGAGCTTCAACTTGATAAAAATGGAGCTATACAATAAACACTGTATTTCTTTCAAACAATATTACGACTGTGAGCCTTATTTGTTTCTTTTAACATTATTTTTCATAGCTGCACATATATTTTTTATTTACAAAGAAAAAAGTTACTTTTAATTTTTTAAAAAATAACAGTATTGGAATTGTACTCCCCTGAAAGATGAGATATTCCACTGAATCAGCCACCCTCTTCATGAACCACCATGATGAACAACATACATATTATATACATATATATAATATATATGTACACACACACACACATACACACACACACACACAATAAAACAGTCTCTAACATTGGAAGTCAGGTGTGTGGTTGCCCCTGGTGTGAGGAGCACAGAGAGTGACCGGAAGCAAGCGTGAGGAGGCTTGGGTGCTCTGGATAGGTGAGAAGGGTTCAGCCTACAGACAGCCTGTGTACTTCATGCTATGCCTGCCCATTTTAATGAAATGCTTTAAAAATGGCTTTAGAAAAACTAAAAACTAATTGATCTTACCAAAGATGTGTTATATGATCTGAGTCATAGTAACGCACTGCTCTCACCAATGAAAATGTCCCAGTTAATCCATGTATACACAAAACCCACGGAGTAATACTGGTTCCCTACTTATTTACTCGCTGCTTATTATTATTGCCTTTTTTATTATTGAAAATTTGCAGGTAAAGATATGAAGTTTTGAAGAGGTGAAAATGGACAAAGAAGAAGACTGGAGAAGAGAAAAGAAGTGAACTAAATATCAGTTATATGCTAGTCATTTCAATGCTCTCATCTTGATTTTATAGCAATTCTGTGAAGAAAGAACAATTACCCTAATTTGACAGGCAGGCAACAAGCTTAGAGACATTAAATAAACTGCCTAAGCTCACACTACAAAGGGAAAAAAAATAATTCAAACTTAAGACTGATTCTAAGCTCCTTGCTGTTACGCATAATGAGTTACAGGAAATAATTTTTGTACCTCAAAATATTTAGATCTATTTTTCAGAGCTTCAATAGTTCTTAAGCTTTCTTCATGTTGCTTTTCTTTAGCTACCAAAAGGGACTTCAGTTTTTCTTTCTGAAATGGAAAGTAATAAATGCTTGAAACTGGGTTAAAAGTATGTCTTAGAAAATGTTCATTAGAATTACTTCAAGAAATAGAATTAAAAGTTCTCCAATATGGTAGATTTCAACTATTAGTAGAGTTGATAATATCTACAAATATATTAATATAAACATATAAAAACATACAATATATACAAAACTTAGGAAATTTGTTTTAAATCTTACCATTTTCAGATCTTTTCTTTTTAATGCTTAGAATTTTACAACTTTTCATGAAAAGTTTCACAGGAAATAATAGCAAAATGCTTTTAATAAGCCCATCCACTATACTCAAAACATACTGTTATCCATAGGTTTTGTTTTCATCTTTCACCAATAACTAGCAATAGAATCCTGGTCTCCACCTGAAACCAGAACTTAATATTCTACTGCAATACCAGTTTGAATTTACACATCTAGAGTAACATTACATTCTGTAATAAATTTATCATCTTACCTCACTTTCCAGATCATCAGCAACCATAACTTCCTACATTGAAGAAGAAGAAATGCATTTTCAGTCTCAAAAGTTTAAAAGGAATGAACTTATAACAAACAAATTTTTTAAAAACTGATACGTGTCTTTAAGATTGGGAACAAGGTTGTGAGAAGAAATGTTTATATGTGGTCAGTTGTGTCCTGTACCTTGTTATCACTCATTCTTTTCACTAACCAGATTCAGACACATCAACCACCAGCTCCTTCCTGGTCTTATTCTGTTTGTCTCCTTCATCTCCAATCCCATAGCCCCAACTATTGTTTGCTTCCTTGTTATAACCACACACCAGTAGCATTTCTCTGCTCTTCTATTTGACATTAAATGCTTTCTGTAAATTCCTAGAAAGATATAATTGTCCCCACAGGCAGTGACCCGATGTGACAGGCATCCACTAATAGCTTGTTAGCCCTGAGGACAACACATAGTAAAAGAGTTGGAGGTCTATTTTGCATCTTTTGCATCATGTAGATTACGTACCTCATTCAGCTGTAGTTGTAAACCATTGACTTTATCCAATAATATTCTCTGTTCTTGCTGAATTTTCCTCAACCTGTCTCTCAACTCCTCATTTTCAATCTCCAGATCCTTAAACAGGGAAGATAACAGGTACTAGTCAGCCTTAAAAGAGCAGTATCTTACAGCAAAAAATTTTTTTTACATTTTTTAAAAAAGCAGTTCATGGTCATATGCAACATATACACATATAGACACATTTAAATATGTTACAATAATTTCAATTACGTTAAAATTTATATACCAGAAATTACACAGAAAATGATGATATTATAATAGTTAATAATTACAAGTAAATACAAACCAGCAAACTTTAATTCAATAAGTAAGAAATAAAAGCATCATCTGGGAATAGAAAACAGCAGAAAAGATATGTGATTTTAACTTTAATTGATAGTCATATCTATTATTCCTTTTTTTTTTTTTTGCTTAATCATCATTCCAGTTAATGTTCTGATAAAACATTTTAAGGTTTCAATTAAGGCTTTATTTTACTTTCTTTCTTTTTTTTTTTTAAGATTTATTTATTTGTGTATACAGAACTGGGATACAGGCCAGAGGTTCAGGGGCGGTGAGAGGCTTCACCAGGGGGAGCAGAGCAGGCAGATCGAGGAAGTACACTGCTGAGAGGAGCAGCGGGCAGGTCAGGAGAGGTCTGCCATGTCATGTGGTCACCTATGGGGCAGGCGGGAATCGAACTCATGCTGAAGTGGCTTTAGCTTCTCAGTGCTGTGCTTTAACCCGCTGCATTACCAGGGAGGGCCTATTTTACTTTCTTAACACCATATAGTAAGCTATGAAAATCCAAACAAAATGATTTTTCTTTTATTATATACAAAACAGCTATCCAATTTATATCTTTTTTAATAAGATTTATTTTATTTATTTATGCATACAAGAGCTGGGGTGCAGGCCAGAGGTGCGAGGTTGGTGTGGGGTGATGGTGAAAGGATTCACCAGGGACAGACTGGAGAGCAGAACAGGCAGATCTACTGAAATACACTGCTGAGGGGAGCAGTGGGCAGGTCAAGAGAGATCTGCCATGCCATGTGGGCCACCTCGCTAGCCAAGGATTGAACCTGTGTTGCAGTGGCTACCCATGCCAAGTAACCCCTTGTACTACCAGAAAGGACCCTTCAATTTGTATTACTGGTTCTTCAATCATTAAATAAATCATTTTTTGACATAATAAGTAGTTTTTGAACACTGGGGCAAAGATAAAAAGTGTTGTGTGGTTAACAAAACTATTTTTCTTAATCAAAATAAAAAATAGTTTAAGGAAAGGGTCAGATTTTATTTTGTTTTCATTAATAACCATCATTTTTACTACTACAATAAATTTCCAAAATGAATACAAATTTGACTCATGGACCTATATATATATTTAAATCAACAATGAATTAGATAAGCCAGTTGAATTATTTGTCTTTGAATATATATTTAAAAATGCTTTATGCAACATAATATTGACCTAGACATTCAGATCTGTTGAGAAAGGATTGGGCAAGAAAATGGAGTCCCAAAGCATACTACACTGCCTTTCTTTCTCCTACTCACTTCTCCCTCTTTTTTCTCCTGTTTTCCTGAACCTGTTTTAGACAACACCAGAATTCTTTGCTAAAGAAGGCACCAAATTTCCTTTTCTTTTTACCTGAACGCTGTGATGTTCCCTCTGATTTGACTTCATATGCAGTTCATCCAGCATGTATGTCAAATTTCGCTTTGGTAAACAAACAAACAAACAAACAAAAAAACACAGCTTAGTAAGTATGAGAACATAAAAAACTACATTTTCCTGGAGGCCATACACCTAGTGGTGATCAGTTCACCTACACAATTTTGTTGTACCTAACACAAGGTGGCAGTATTTCCTCTTAAAACTCCAGACAACTGAGAATATGGTTTTCAAATAAATCAAGTGTAATTTATTTTGAAATGTATATTAAAAAATAACAATTTAAAATACTAATGATAAGTATTTTTTAAATAAATTGAACAAACATTAAAGAGAAGACTTTGTATGAGCTATAAAACGAAAGCCGTGCTATGAGGTCCCAACAACCACTCCCAAAGCAAGAATTTCTATTTTTTTTTTTTAAAGGAAGGAAGTCCATTAATATCGAAAGAAAAGAAAACATGGAACCCATTCATTTCTTTGCACCCTAATGAAATAAAATATCAAGGAGTGTGGAAAGAAAGAGACAGCCAGCACATTGATGAGCGATGCGAGGGATCACTACATGACCTGGTGGAGTACGTGTTCTGTTTTTGCACACTTACTGCTTTGAAACTTTATTCCAACTTAGAGATTTGCTTTAATAAAAGCACACCACAATTATTACACAAGAGAACAAATAACCTACATTTTTTTTTAATCCAAATTGATCTTTAAATCTGCACAATTTCGAAAACTATTTTGCTTTTCCTTTTGGAGAGCTTAAAAAAGAAAGCTAACAGTTTAATTCTCCAAGATAACTTTATGTGTTGTAATGTTTGCTCATTTTTGGTTAAGCAAGTGTTTAAAGCATCACTCTAATGAAACTGGATTTAGAACTCTAGCGCCAACATCCCATCAAGAAAATGTTCTGTAGCCACAATTGGACCCACTTTACATTTCTAGCCTCAATCCTTTTCCCAAAGTACTGTTCACATGGGATCTGACCCACCTCCTTATAACATTAGCACAAAAGTGTGTCCACAGAAATTGTTCATAGTCAGGTTGTTTCACTGAGGCAGGGCTTCTCCTGCACCCTCAGCCACACATGTCTCTCCTTTTGCTCTGGCCTTTCACAGCCCTTTGGGGTCAGTAAACAAACCCTCCAACGGTATACTTGTCCTTCTGCCCCTTGGCTTCCTACCTCCTTCACAGCTCTGCTCAAAGGTCACACCCCGGGATAAGGCCTGGCTGTCCTCTAAAACAGCTCCTGTCCTCTCCCTCTGTATCCTTGAATCCTGTTTTGTTTTTCTGGAAAGGATCTCTCACGACACTACCTACTCACTTGCATCTTTCTCCCTAGTGTAAGAATGTATGTGGAAACAGATGACTTTTTACTGCTCTCAGCAAAAGCACTAACTCTATAAGCTCATTTGGATAACGCTTAAAGGCCCTGAGCCCACCCCCATATTCATGTCCAATCACTCTTTAAGTATCTGCACACTTCTGAATGTTATTTCTGTGATTCTGGGTAAGGTGGCTGGCACTGACCTAACTATACACTCTGCTCCCTTCTGAGGTTATCTGAGGAGGGAGAAAAGGTTGAAACAGTAGATTTGGATGGAAAAGATACATGCCAGGAGACATGACCATGCAGGAAGGCTTGCTCCACCCCGTTGAGGAAGAGGCCAGCATGCTTTCACGTGGACCCCAGTGAGAAGTAGGGAGAGATGTACAATGATGATCAGAATTGCTCAGAAGGTACCTGATACTTTCTCCTCAGGATTTAGAAGTGCTCAGGTTCATCTCACTAGAGAAAAGCAGAAAGCCTGGAAGGAAACAGCCAGCAGAAGAGGACAGCAGCCTACACTAGCTTCTGAGCAGACGGGAGCGTGCAGAAAACCACCCGACTCACGTGAATTCAGAGATTAGGGGGAAACAATAAGACATTTACTCAGACTGGGAAACAAAGCCAGGGTTAAACTGAGTTGATTAGTATAAGGTGTGATTATTTTATGTATTATGCTCTTTTAAAGTGAAGTCCTCAGAAAATATACACACAGCAAAAAAAAGAAGAAATACAAATGTCAACAGTGGTACTGAAATAATACTATAAATCACTTAGGAATTCTGTTTTCTTCATATCATTGCATTGGAAGAACTGACCCAGAATAGCAAACGTTCCCAATAAAAACAACTACATGTCCTCATTAGTCAAGCGCTTTAAATTGTACCACACATATTATTTTTAAAAGTTAAAATTAAGATCTACCTGTGGTAGAGAAGGTCCTTTCTTCCAAAGTTCTCTCCCTGAAGATTTAAAGAGAAAGAAAGGAGAGAAGGGAGTCGTAAAACAGCAGATTAACTTGGGTAGATGTATTCTCTAGCTCTACACTTGAATAAATAAGTGCAAAAGTTTTCTCTAAAGCTTACTACTTTACAATTAAAATATTACCGAGATATCATGCTTGCCCTCAAATGAACCAAGTTTTTTTTTTTTTTAATATGATAACATCTAGGTAGATAATATTAAGTATTAGGGAGAAGGGGTGAATGAAATGCAAATTTTAAAATACTCCTGAATTGGAAGATAATTTGCCAATATATATTAAAAGCTTAAAAAAATGTGCATACCCTGAAACTGAATGACTCAATATTTAGGAATTGATCCTAATGGGATAATAAAAATATGCTAAAATTTTTATATATAAGGAGAGATACTAAATTGTTATTTGTATTAGTTCAAAACTATAAACAACTAAAATGACAACAACAGGGAGTGGCTTAATTAATCTCAAGCAGAATTTTATGCATCGATAAAAATCATATGATAGAAAAAATATATGGGGAAAAGTCTTCAAGACATATAACAAAAAAGTAGACCCTAAAACTATAGACACCAACATTACCTCAAAAATTAATAATTTCAAAGAATAATCATAAAAAATATCTACAGCTCATACAAGTGACCTTGACTTTATGCAAAGGGAAGGGAGTGGAGGATAATCTTCATAAAGTTACTGGAGGCTCCTCAGTGGTAGAATGAGGGTTTTGTTTCATCTGTTTTGTTTTTATGTATTTCCCAATTTATCTTTAATAAATATAGAAAACACATTGGCACAAGTATTTGATAAATGCTGGGTGAATATTTTATGTACAGGTTTAAACATGATTCTTTAAAACATTAAGAGTATAAAGAGCTTCACCCGTTATCACTGAAAAAAATGTGGAAATTCCTGATGTTCTTAAGTTATTCCAGTTTAGTAGAGTTGAATTAATAAACTAAACAATACATAATGCAACAAACACTGCCGCAGAACAAGTTACTACAATACAAATACACAGCCATGGTATGGAAGGCGATGGACTAATACTGTTCTGCTTCTTGAAACTGTAGTTTTACCATCTAAATCCTAATGCTGCTCTTTAGTAACGGGAACTTGTTAATTACAGTAAACTGCTAGTACCTTTGTTAACATTTTCTGATGCAGTCTTCAGTAAGGTTAGAATGTCCAGATTGTCACCAATTCTTGCATAGTAAGAACTATCATTGCCAAGGGCATCCAGCAAGCTTATATCAGCGCCATTTTTAAGTAAGACTTCCACTGCGTCTTTGCAGCCATACTCACAACCCAGCATGAGAGCAGTCCTATGGGGGGGGAAATAGAAGGCCAGAAGACCAAGAGTAAGAGCCAGGAATAATTCAGAAATGTAGTTCAGAAGCCTCCTTTCTCAAGAACTGGAATTATTTTAAAAAGTCATACTTGTTACAGATACAGGTTTTTTACTTCACATGTTTATAGTTTAACTTCATCACATTTTTAAAAGCATGTGATTGGTGACTTATCTTACAGAGCTAACATCCTATATCACCTCCTATACTTGTATTTTTCTACTACCAAACTAACTTCATTCTAGTCCTTCAATAACCACAAATGTCAATGAGGTGTCCAAAGGGGAAAAAAAAAAACAAAAACCTTTTACATGGGATAGTAGCACTCCATTTGCTCAAAACCTGAAACAACAAAGCTAACTACTCACGAGGCTTCATGAACTATGCCACATCACACCACCCTGCTCCTACCCCGAATCCCTCTATCCCAAACAATCAGACCTTGGTCGCAATTTTTCTTCCTGGTAGAGCCATGCTTTGGCCACCTGAACACCTGTACATCTTCAGATTCAATTTTAGAACCTGCATTCTCAAATAAAGCGTCCTTGATTAACCTCAGTGTCATGGACCATTGCTTTCTTTTGCCATGACAGAACTTAAACTTTTAACAGCATATCAGCAAAGAGTAATAATGCAATAAGACAATCAAGTCATCATGGAAATATAGAAGGACCCTCGACTTTGTTTTGGAAACACAGACCTAATGAAATGAAGTGCCTTCTATCTAACTCTGTCACTGAATTTTACAAGAAAACCAATTCTTTTACTCTGATATGTATGTTCTATTTCTCTTTTATATACACCAGTATTTGCTGGCACTCATTCACATGCAATAGGCATTAACAAAGTCATCACTGTGTGGGGTAAAAATACTATACATAGCACAGAAAAAGAAAAGAAACAGGAACCTGAATACATGGATCAGAAACCATGGCTATAATTCATATCTAAAATCATCTGCTACATAATATATAATACACATTGCTCACCTCACTGGTTTTTGTGTGTTAAGTTCCAATGGAAAAAAAAAGAGAGAGAAAAACATACTTGGAAAAATATAAGCTCATAAAAATGCAAGACATTATATATGTCAAGTCTGCTCTGATCCTAAATTTTATTTTTAAATTAAATTTTCATGTTTGAAACAGATTAGAATATCTGCAAAAATAAACTAATACCAAGAAAAGAACTACTCTCTTAATAATCACACTAATGATTTAATTGCTTAAGAATTTCTTTCTGGGCTCTCCCTGGTGGCGCAAAAGGTTAGGACGTAGCACTGCAAGCCAGCCACAGCCACTTCGGTGCAAGTTCGCCCTGGAGGTGATTCACATGGTGTGGCAGACCTCTCCTGACCCACCCGCTGCTACCTTCAGCAGTGTGCTTCATTCATCTGCCTGTTATGCTCCTCACTCCGTCTCTGGTGAGTCCTCTCACTGCCCCTGTGCCTCTGGCCTGTACGTACCCCAGTTCTGTATGCATTAATAAATAAATCTTTTAAAAAAAAGAATTTCTTCCTATGAGATGCCTGAGCAATTAAAGCTACAGTCTGACATCTAAATACTATTTTGTTATTTACTTGCAATAAACTACAAAACGATAGAATGCTTACGAGAATAAAATTACATTAAAAAAACCAACAATTTCACTAGTAATCGCCTATAAAATCCCAGAAACTTACTGTAAATTACCATAATGCTTCAACTAGTAGAGGAAGCACAACCATTATTAGTGGTAATAATACTGTCACTACAATACAGAAGAGCCCTATGACATAATAGACCTCGAGAATAGAAAAGAGAGAATCACAGATGGAAATTATTAGTGCATACTAATTAAACTAACATCCAATATAGAAGCAAAAATAAAGTGAGAGAATCTTATGGAACAAAAAAGAACTTGATTTCAAAGAAGGAAGTGACAGGATGTGGAGAGAAACACCTCAAAAAAATCTATACTGCAACATATTGAGCCCTAGGACACTGAAGAACTCTGCTCTCTAAAGATTCACGGATGAAGTAGTCTGTGTAATTTTTTTGTTCCTCTCCCTTTTTCTTAATTGTACTCATTTTATCATAGCCTTTAAACTTAAAGTGAGGAGGGTAAAATTCCTCTTTCTTCAGTTCCTTGACCTTCATCACTGCCATTATTTTGCATTCATCCTGTTATTTCCCCCTAGTTCCTTCTGCTTCCTTCTTCTTGACTCTCAAAAAAAGGAAGAGGGAACCCACATGGAAGAAAGTTCGAGGCACAGATGCCCTGTCTCAGAACCTGCACACCTTGCTGGTGTCCAGGAAGCCAGGATAAAGAATTACCTATTCTGCTTGTCTCTGGAATTAATATCCGATCCTCGGTCTATTAGCATCTGACATATATTTGGCCGACACATCTGAGTAGCCAGAACAAGTGGTGTCCGTCCATCCTAAGCAACAAAAAAAATGAAACAGCATTAAGACAACAAATCTCTCCAAGCATAAAAGAGTACAAGTGTTGAAATAAGAATAAACATAAATTTACTCACTACATCTTTGGCATTCACTGAGGCCCCATGGTCACAAAGCAGCTGTATGCTTGAAGGACAGTCTGCCATAGCTTTCAGGAACAAAGGAAAATGATGAATGGTGAACATCTGCTGGCAAGACACATAGTGCTTTGCTAGGTCCATGGAAGGCAGAAGAAGTTCTTTACTTTCTAAATTACCAAACTTCACAGCCTTCTCTCAGTTTAGAATTATAAACATCAATTTTCTCTGTGAAAATTGATTAGAAAAGATCATTTTATAAAATTTGTTTAATGTATTAGGACCAAGGGATACAATCTTCTTTGTAGAAGACAAGAATATACTTTCTCTTCTAAAGGCAATGCACATAATAATAAAAAACCAAACACATTTTCTATTTATATTTTTAAAAATGACTACAGCTGACTTGATTTTTGAAGTGTTAGTTCAGCTTTAAGAAACATGTTATCTTTCTTATTTTACAAAAGAGCCTGAATAAATAATGACTCGTGTAGTTCATACTTCCTATAAAAAGCAGAAGATTGTCTGCCCATCATGGTGGAAAGTGGGGTCATTTTGTTAAAAACTATAATATCATCTAGCATTACTTCTGCGATCATTAGTAGAGTTCATATTTGCATTAGAAAAAAAATGTTATTAAATTCACTAAACAGGACTGTAGTTACACTCCACATGAATTTTTTTTTTTTTTTTTTAAAGATTTATTTATTTATTCATACAGAACTGGGGTACAGGCCAGAGGCTCAGGGGCGGTGAGAGGCTTCACCAGAGACAGAGTGGGGAGCAGAACAGGCAGATCGACGAAGTACACTGCTGAGGGGAGTAGCGGGCGGGTCAGGAGAGGTCTGCCAGCCATGTGGTCACCTCCGGGGCAGGCGGGAATCGAACTCATGCGGAAGTGGCTTCAGATTCTCAGTGCTGTGCTTTAACCCGCTGCGCCACCAGGGAGGGCCGAATTTGTTTTTTTTTAAGCCTATGAATTGAATCCAGGTTATTAGTATCGAAAATACTGACAAAGTCAATTGTTTTTTTGGAGTGTAATTCAATAGGATAAAAACAAACAAGAAAATTAAACAAGCTTTTAATTCTGACATCTTTAACCCAACTAAGTCTTTTATAAAAACTGAATAGTCTGGGCCCTCCCTGGTGGCGCAGCGGGATAAAGCACAACACTGAGAATCTAAAGCCGCTTCCGCATGAGTTCAATTCCCGCCTGCTCCGAGGTGACCACATGGCGCGGCAGACCTCTCCTGACCCGCCCGCTGCTCCCCTCAGCAGTGTACTTCGTCAATCTGCCTGTTCTGTTCCCCACTCTGTCTCTGGTGAAGCCTCTCACTGCCCCTGAACCTCTGGTCTTACCCCAGTTCTGTATGCACAAATAAATAAATCTTTAAAAAAAAAAAAAAAAAAAAAAAAAAAAAACTGAATAGTCGACTTCAATAAAAAAGGTAAACTGAAAGTTGATACATTAATTCAGGAATCAAAAATCAACAATATTGAGGCCAACTTATAAATAAAAATTAAAAAATATTATTCGCAATGAAGGAAAAAAGAAAGATACAGTTCTGGACTAAACATCTGACTGAGGAAATTACATTCCCATCCAAGATAACTATTTCAGATGATTTTTTTAGGCAGCAGTCATTACAATGAGGTAAAGAATCATGAGTCTAGAAATAAAGATAAGAAATAAAGGAGAGTTAGAAACTTTGTCCAGAAAGTAACTTCGGAGATGGTTCCTGACACAGAAGCACCTGGCAACAGACCAGAAACTGAGCCAGGTTCTGAGAGAATTGTACCACCAAGACTCCAGCAGTCCCCTTGGCAGAAATGTATGACTGTTCCAGCTCTTAACAGCTTCTATAGTGGCCATGCTGTCCATCAACTGACTAGCTGTGCCTCTCATAGATAACAGACAAGCACCTCCCAGAAGGCAGAGGAAGAGGCCCCCAGAGGACATGGACTAGGATTTCTCCCAGAAAACAGAATGGAGGGGGGAGGTAATCCCAAGGAGCTCAGCAGCAAATATGGCATCTGCTAAGCACCAGTGACTGCTCTATTTGCAGGTTCTCCCTTTAATTTCACATAACTTGTCCTTGTTCCATCACTATATATATTATGAAGAATGGGGCTCTTTTCTTTGCATTTACAAATTGCTGGATCACAAAGACGCATATCAGAGCCAAAAAGAGAAGAAACACATCACCCTAGGCTTTGAAATAGTTGCAATAACTGGATTGGTTTACATCTCATTTCCCTTAGGGAGAGGGCAATGGTTTCAATGTGTAGGATGCAGGGGCTACAGCTGAAAGGCCAAGGTTGGACTATAGCAGAAAATGCAATTTGTCATCAAAATCTGTTCTCCCTTCATCTACAGTTAGCAGAAAGGTCATGATGAGTCACCCAGAAATTACATTTCTAGCCTCCTTTACAGATAAACATTTGATTGACCTTGTTGTCATCAATGGAATGTAAGTAGAGGGAGATCTACCACTTCCAAATCTGAGCCTAAAACTCAGGGCACGTGTTCTTTCACATTGTCGTGCCACATCCTGCTAGCTTAAACATGGATATGACTGTAAGACCTGCCAACTTATGCCACTCATTGATTTTTTTATAAGCAGCTGATAATTTGAGTTATTTTATTACATCAACTTAGTCTTCATTCTAAATTCCTCCATATACCTAGTGAACAAATGTTAAGATAGCAGCTGGTCAAATTGTACCAGTTTTAAACACAAGAACAAAACATATGGATATGTACACCAAAACAATGCACAATAATGCATACTTTTTGAAAAAAGTATACACTGTGCTATCCACAAGTTACTAAGCATCAGGGTTATCTCCAGAAGTTTCCTTGTGTGCCTTTCTCTGTGTGTATGTGTTTTGACTGTTCTCCCATGTGAGGTAAAACATAAGTTCTATCTTATTAATACATTTTAAAGTGCACAATACTGTGCTAAAGTGATAATTCTGTGCAATGTTTACACATAAGTTATACTTCAATGAAATATAGAAAAAGATAAATAGCTGGGAAAAAGAGAACAATAATTAGATGATTTTGAAAACATTTTCATATGCACTAAGTGTAATAATGGCATTATTCTTAGGTTACAAAATAGAGTAAATATCTTTTGGAGATACAAACTACATTATTTATGGATAAAAGTATATATGTCTTAGACATAGAAACAATCCAAATGCTCAAAAGTAGATGACTGGATTAAAAAGATGTGGTGCATATACACAATGGAATATTATTCAGCAACCAAAAAAAAAATGCCTTTTGCAGCAACATGGATAGAGCTGGAAAAGATCATGCTTAGTGAATTAAGCCAGAAAGAGGGCCCTTCCTGGTGGTGCAGTGGGTTTAAGCACAGCACTAAGAAGCTAAAGCCACTTTGGCATGAGTTAAATTCCCAGCCCCAGAGGGATCCACATGGTGCGGCAGACCTCTCCTGGCCCGCCTGCTGTTCCCCTCAGCAGTATACTTCATCAGTCATCCTATTCTGCTCCCCACTCTGTCTCTGGTGAATCCTCTCACTGCCCCTGCACCTCTGGCCTGTACCCCAATTCTGTATGCATAAATAAATAAATCTTAAAAAAAAAAAAAAGCCCCAGCTGGAAGGCACATTAGTTTAAAAAAAAGAAAGGAAAGAAATGAGCCAGAAAGAAAAGGAAAAATATTGGATGGTTTCACTCATAGCAGGAATGTAAAGGACCAGGCAAAAAAATAATAATAATGAACAGCTATATACTAGAGACATTTTATGGGGGTGGAGTGGGGAATGGGATCAAAAACGGTGGAGTGAGGGAAGTGCACTGGACTATGGTGATGGCACTCAGGTAATTTGGTAATGGGAAGCCCAAAGGGATTACAACTGAGATGGGAAAAGGCACAAAATGATGTAAAAAAAAACTATTATATTATTTTTAAAAAGTATGTATGTCTTAGAGCTGAATGAAAATACTGCAGTCAAGTGGGAGTAGTGCACTGGACTATGGTGATGGCACACAGGTGATTTGGTAATGGGAAGCCCAAAGGGATTACAACTGAGATGGGAAAAGGCCCAAAATGATGTAAAAAAAAAAACTATTATATTATTTTTAAAAAGTATGTATGTCTTAGAGCTGAATGAAAATACTGCAGTCAAGTGGGAGTAGTGAGGGTGATATTCATTAATCAAGGTGGCCACATGCTGGTGACTGTCTGAGCTATGTAAAGAGTATAAGGCGTTTTTAACATAATGTTCTTTCTTGTTTATGTGTGCTTGGAATTTTTCATAATAAAACTAATTTTTAAAAGGTAATTATTGATAAAGATGGACTGATTATTTATAAAAAAAAAAAAAACACAAGAAAAGGTAGCAGGAGCAGAAATAGCATGTAATATATTCATATCCCAGGAGACAGCAGTCATTTTTCAAATCCCATCAAGCACAGTAAATTAGCACTGTGAATTTTTAAGTGATTTTTAAATGTAACTTGTAAAATTATTTTGATGCTTCCATAATTTTACAAGCCAGTTTAGGCTTTTGTTTTTAATTATTTAAGTATCAACAAAATTATCATAAAATATCAAATAAGAGATTAAAATCTATATAGTAGTTCACAAGGGTCACTGTATGGTTCAAATGACACTGTACACTAAAATTCTTTGCAAATATTATCAGTCTATGACAAATGAAAGAAAAATATATTGTGTGAGATTTATGATGGTGGCGGTGGTGGTGGTAGTGGTGGCTGTTTTGATTTAGAGGTGTCAGCACTTAATTTCATATCACTATAATGTGCTATATTAAAGAAAAAAAAGATTTATACTAGTAATCCACAGATTTCATTATCACACTTGTGTATTGCTTTATCTTTAGGCTTATTCACCACATATGTAAACAGAATATAAACAGAAAAAAATGAAGACTAAGCTATAATTGTTTGAATTTGAAATGTAATATCTTTAGCCACAAACTACTTCAGTCTACAGCAGATATTCTACACACATGAAAAGAGGGTAGAGGCCCTCTCTGGTGGTGCAGCAGGTTAAAGCACAGCACTAAAAAGCTAAAGCTTCAGCATGAGTTCAATCCCCACCCTCCCAGGAGGTAACCACATGGCGCAGCAGACCTCTCCTGTCTGGCCTGCTGTTCCCCTCAGCATTGTACTTTGTCAATCGACCTGTTCTGCTCCCCACTCTGTTTCTGGCGAATCCTCTCACCATCCCTGCCCCTCTGGCCTGTATCCAGTTCTGTATGCATAAATAAATAAATCTTTAAAAAAAAAAACAAAAAAAAACAAAGGTAGATATTTTTCTTTCCTTCAGCCTCCTAGTCATCTGTAGGAATTTCAGACTTAAAAGAGTCAGACTATCTTTGACTCCAAGGATATTTAATATTTAACTTTTTGCTAAGTAATTCTTATAGTACACCTAAAGAATATAGCCTAAAGAATGATACACAAGTATGATAAGTAATAAAATCTGTGGATTACTAGTATATTTTTTTAATAAAGCACATTATAGTGATATAAAGTCTAGTACTGACACCTCTAAACAAAATAGTCACTACCACCACCACCACCACCATCACCACCACCACCATTAAGAAATCTCTATGTGGGCCCTCCCTGGTGGCGCAGTGGGTTAAAACACAGCACTGAGAAGCTAAAGCCGCTTCCGCGTGAGTTCGATTCCTGCCTGCCCCGGCGGTGACCACTGGCGTGGCAGACCTCTCCTCACCCCCCCGCTGCTTCCCTCAGCAGTGTACTTCGTCAATCTGCCTGTTCTGCTCCCCACTCTGTCTCTGGTGAAACCTCTCACCGCCCCTGAGCCTCTGGCCTGTACCCCAGTTCTGTATGCACAAATAAAATCTTAAAAAAAAAAAAGAAATTTCTATGTGATTCAAAAAGATACCTGCACCCCCATGTTTACTGCTGCTTTATTCACAACTGGAAAGACATGGAAACAGCCCAAATGCCCAAAAATGGATGACTGGATTAAAAAGATGTGGTACATATACATAATGGAATATTACTCAGCAACCAAAAAAAAGAAACACATGTCTTTTGCAGCAACATGGATGGAGCTGGAAAAGATCATGCTTAGTGAATAAGCCAGAAAGAAAAGGAAAAATACCAGATGGTTTCTCTCATAGCAGTAATATAATGGAACAGGTGAGAAAATAATGGTGAACAGCTATATACCAGAGATATTTTGTGGGAGTGGGATCAAAAACAGTGGGGGTGGGGGAGCGGATGCACTGGACTGTGGTGATGGCACATGGGTGATTTGGTGATGGGAAGCCCAAGGGGATTGCAACTGAGATGGAAAAATATACAAAATGATGTAAAAATAAACTATATAAATAAATAAAAACAAATTGACTGTAATAACAACAACAACAAAAAAGAAATCACTATGTACCAGGTACTACTTTAATTTCTTTATAGCCACTCACCACAATAGAATTATTAATTACATTTTGCAGATGAAAAAAAATGAGATTCAGACATGTTAATTAGGAAAGTATAGATTTTAAGAAAGAGAAAAGTCTTCCTCCTTCCAATTTCTCCCAGCAAATCCCAACCATACACACACACATAGTGCCTGGAGCTCCTTGGAACAGGTGATGGCTTGTCTAGCTTTGGAATTTTAGTTCCTACCAAAATGCCCTGTAAATAATGGCCATCTGAGTCTTTTTTAAGCTGTACAAGCTAGTAAATTTCAAATTAGAGTAAACAAACAAACAAACAAATCACAATATTCTGTTTCTCCATGGGTTATACAAATATATACATGGTAAAACTCAGAAATTAGTTTAAATGCCTTGGTATTTTACCAAACATTTATCACCAACTGGAAAGTTTGCTCACCTGCATCGTGGAGTGCAGTTCTTCCCTGCAGGTCTGTATGTTCAGTGGGACAATTGTACTGTTAAGACATAGAAATTCCATAATCTAGGAATTTTATTTTAAAATTAAACATCAAGACTCAAATGAACATGTTATTTATCTTTATGGTAGTCCATATGTTTAAAAAAAAAACAAACCTGAAGAATATTAGACAAGCAGGTAAATATTTTGATGTGAAGCAAATATAATAGCATGTTTTTGAAAGTATTTTACCAAACAGGAAAACATCTGGCATATGACAATGGTAAAGAAATCATATTATTGACTGGGGTTTTCTTTCCAGCACGAGTTAAAACTTGAACAACTGAGTGAGAAAAATCAAATGAGTTCTGCATTAAATAAAAGTGTCTGTGGGAATATATGACTTGACCCTTTCACTGAAAATATAATATAATCCATTAGTTCATAGACTGAAGGGGTCAATAGTATATAGTCTAAGTTACTGATGTCTATGTATTGGAAAAGATGTTATGCTATATCACTTTCTCTTATGTCATATATCAGGCAACAGAAAATTCCAAGCTTTAGCTAAAGTCAACAGGAAGGTCAAGTCTTTGTTATTTATTTTTAATACACTGAGTTATGCAATTCACTTCCCTCCAAGCTTTTGCTCTTTATTGTTCACATTCTTTCATAAATGATGGAAAAACTATTATGTAAGCTAACAGTCAAGGTTAACCTAGTATTTTCTTTGATCTCAAATTCCAAAAATACATTAAAAACACTTGTATTATTTGCAGTCAAAAAAATAAAACCTCAGTATTTGCCACTTTTATTACCTGTAGAAGTTTCTGCAGGCACAATGCATGTCCATACTTTGCAGCCAGGTGAAGTGCATTTCTCCCTAGGAAAGAAATCAGTTAAAATATATGTGAAGGGTTACTTTTATCACATGTAATAATATGATTCATTTCTAAAATTAGCAGACAGCATATCTGATTTGTAAGCATGTTTTCAGTTTCTATGATGTTTCGCCCAGTTTTATATTTAATAGGAGATAATGTACATACACCAAAACATTGTAGGGAAGAAAAATTCAACATATGAACCCATAAAGTACAAAACTTTGTGTTGTTTACCATGATATCTTCAATATATAGTGCTGAGACAGTATCAGGCAACACAAGGGAGATGGGATGAAGAGAAAGAGAAAGAGGAAAAAAGCATGGGAGAAGAGGGAAAGATAAACAGATTTCACATAAGCAATGAAGATACTGAAAACAGAAAGTAGAGAGATGTTAAGTCAAAGAAAGGAAATTCTCTGATATTTATATTTCAACTAAGTTCATTAAGTGACCATGTCTCTGAATATCAGACAACTTGTTCAAATAGAAAGTGCATTAAAATGTTCCAGTTTAGAGGAAATAACGGGGTTGAAGGGAGGTGGCAGGCAGGGAGGAGATTTATGAGATAATCTAAAAGGCTAATGTCGAACACTAGAAAAATAGGCCAATTTGCAGAGAACATTCTACTTAGAAACACTTTTTCTTCCAACCATATTTCCTTACACATACACCTCTCTTGGGTGGTAAGAGACAGAAAAGCTTCACAGACTACTCCAGCTTCCACTCTTGAATGCTCTTAATTTCCCTCTAATTTCACAACCATCTTAAAACAAAATTTGGCTTCATGAGTAGAACTTTCTGCCAAAAAAAAGCAATTCCTTTTCTGTTCATCTTAGAAGAATGAATATATGACTTTGCAAATTTTCCTGGACCTCATAACTTCTGTGTAGCTGGCAAATAGGTTCTAGAATAAAAAGCATGAGTCCAGGTATTTATATAGGTATAGCTACAACATATTCAACCACTCTTATACATCCTCTACTGCCAAATAAGTCAGAAGTAATGTTTTCACATTCCAATTTGCTCCTGTCCACAATTTTCCTAAAAATATTCCATGTTGTGAAAGGTCATAGAGAAACACGTATCCCCATGAGCAGTAACAGAAGAGCAGAGGGGAGCAGAGTGGTAACAGTCCCATATTCAAGAAAATGTCACAGACACTTGATAGCATGAAACTATCAGGTCAGGACTAAGGAAATCCCACATCCAGTCACTTGAAATACGGTAGCAAAAAGTCAAGGAAACACTAAACTTAAAGCCAACCACTATGAGCCACACCAAAGGTGCAGACCTGTTTAGACCTGATCACAAATACCTCAAAGCCACACTGACTTAAAATCTGATTATTTTCAATCTACTTTTCTACTGCTAGCTAATAAAGTTTTTTTATCAAATGGTCATCAAATATCCACATTTGGATTATCATATAAAACAACAGCAAATGAGACAAGGTCCTTATCCTCAAGAAAGGCCATCTCTAAGGACAAACATACTTAAAAAACAAAGGAAAGCATGACTAAACAACAGCAAAAGCAGAAAATAAAAAGAATGAGGGAGGGTGTGCTGTGGTGCCATGTAGGACTGGCCATGTTTGCTGAGCTTAGGGAAGCACTGGGTTCCATCTATTCTGTAGGGGGCAGGGAGAATGTCACCAGAGTGGCCATTGGCAAAAATGCCCAGGGTGGAAAGAAGCCAGATAAAAACAAAGATAATCAGAATCTGACTTAGAATCAGCACGATAAACAAGGCTTCTGAAAAGGTATGACTGGTTCAAAATGTCTGAAACAAATATTTTACATAGATGGAAGCATATGTATGTAATAAACACGTTCTTCTGTTTGTTGAAAGTTGAGTTTGATCTTTAATTTAGAAATTGATAGATCCTTTAGGTACAAAATTTTCCTCACTTCAAAATTCAATAGTAATAGCTCGCTCCCCCTCTCCTCCTTTCTGTTTGTAAACACAATGCTAATTAACAGCAACATAATTACTTGTCCTTACATGGAGTGGGAGGGTAAAATAAAGTTGCTAAGAAAATTCTCTGTTATAGATCACCTCTTCGTGGCCACTGAACAAGACCGAGCTGCAGAGAAATAAGGTTTTGAGAAACAAAACCCATAGAAACAAGAATAGGTATCCTGATAAACAGATGAATAGAAAACTAGTAGTTTTCTAAAAAAAGCAAGAGCTCTATTCAGATACTTAAAGGTCGACCTTGTGATGTACAGACAAGATTTTAAAAGACAGACATAGATGTGACTAAGATTAGGCAGAAGACCCCGAAGAGACAGTCTTACACTGCTACAAGAAGTAAGCCTTTATAAATAGTCAGCCAGACACAGAAATGGGTTCCCGGGAGGTGTGATCATTAGGACCACAGCTCGGCCACTGAGGGCCCAGGCCAGTGGCTGAAGAATTCGGTGCCTCACAGCCTCCAGGCTGACGTGAAGCTGAGTGAGCCAGGAGGCTGGAGCATTCCAGAGTGAATGTCTGTGCTGGGGCATCAGCCAGTGTGGCTGGGATCATCACAGTGAGGCTGTTCGTCTCCATCCCAAGAAAAGTCCAGTCAAATGCTGAATGATTTCACCACAGAGTGTCTTCTACTACTGATTGATACGCCAATGTAAGCTAAGTGGCACAGAAAGGTTCTTTAGAGTCTGGTTTTAAACCAAAACTGTCACTGTACTTCAGGTCTCCAACTGCTTGTTCAGTAACCCCTTCTCCTAAATTCCCTGTACTCATCTTAACCACATAATGATAGCTCAGAAGTAAAGCTTTTCTCAATTTTAAAAACAGAAAATGAAGGATCTTTTTTTTAAATATCCTTCAAGTCTGATTAAGAACATTAGCAGTGAGTGATGCTTGTAACCAACTTTGTAACTGATCAGTGCAAACATACCTGCAGTGTCACAGGATGTAATATCAACTCCATGTAAAAGGATGGCGTTCAAACACTCAAGGTTCCCCTTTGAAGCCACAACATGGAAGCTAAAGAAAAAAATTTGTTATGCAAAGGAAAGCACCAAAGCTCAATTAGATATTAACATCCCCTTTTATTCAACACACACACATATGCATACATATACTTTTAAAGTCACATTAAAACAGCTTTATTTTTAATACAAGAAAAAAGAAATCTAACCAGTATTGCTGAAAATTCATCTTAACCTAAAATTACATAAGGGGCCAATGCTGTCTAGACACCAAAGGGAGATTTTAATGTTCAATTGTCTTAATAATAGAAAATATATACTATAGCATTATCAACCCTATAGTCTATTATTTCATTAGCAGAGGCAGTAGCACTCGGAGCTTAATCAATGTATTGTGAACTTTCTACCAGGTTATTTTGCTTTGTTTCAAAAATCTTAAAACTGCTGAGACAAATGAAGTTATGGCAGAAGAGTGAGGCCAAAACAGATAACAAGATTTATCCCTTTGTTTAGATTTATCAAAGTAAAATCTAGCATATAAAAATCTTCAAATCAACAAACTAAATTACCCTTGAAAGTCATAAAAGAACTGGAAATTTCTTCCCAAACAGTATACCGATGGCTACCACAAACTTTTTCTTTTGCACATAGACCTAGTATGACTGGCTGAAGATTCACACAAAGAGGTGGGGGAAACCGAATAACTGCAAAATATACCTATCACTTTGGCATCTAGATTATTCCTAGTTGGAGACAAGGAATGCCAGCAGACCCAGGAAGAGCTATTTACTTTCCCTTTAACTGCCTAAAAGAATTGGGTTAGACATCCTGCACTAAGAGAGAGTTAATATTGAAGATCATTTGTGATCGGAAAGACTTCTCTGCATGGCATTGCAAGCATTTGCTTATCTCTTCTTCCTATAAATTTCTACCTGCACTCCCAATTTTCATCTCTAATTCTCTACCCTCCCCACTTCTTAGCTCAGGATGGCAATCAAGCCTCAACTGCTTATCTTTGGATCTCAGGTTTTTGGGACTCCAGAAGATATGAAGCTTGTTTTTTTCTTTTTTAATATGTTTTATATCGAATTAATTATTATTAGCCAAAGAACACAGAAGGAAAGATGGGAAAAGCTTCCCTTCCCTACACAGGTATAAGTGAACAAATTTCCTAATAATGCAAGTAAAACCTGATTCAGAAACTAACTTTAAGTTATCCAGTATTCAAGATAAAAGGTAACAAAATATTATGTATTTGATAGTCTAATACTTCATTAACTACCAATATTTACAGCAATATTTTTGTGCAGTAAGAGTTGACACAGATTATATTCCATTAAATCGAAACTAGTAAGTGACTTGTTGAAAAAGGCCAGTGAATTTGGCTTGGGAAAGAACAGAAACCCAGAACAAGAATAAGCAAGCAGTCTGAAGATGCCAGGAGACAAAGGAGGCGCAAGTTGCATGACACCAGGTATAGACACACGCTCTGTACCCCTCCAGCAGGGTCTTTCCCTGACCATGCCATGTCAATATTTTCTACTTCTCCATTTCCTGAAACTTTAGTAATCCTCGTCCTCTCATTTATGCCTTTATTATTCAATCTAGAGTTTCACATTTTCTAATGTAATGCATGAATTCAAGATTTATTTCCTTTACAGCTTATGAATTTCTCAGCAAAAGCAGAGACTTTTGTCTGACTTGCTCCCTATTTTATCCCCAAAACCAACGAGATGAGGGTCCTTAAATACTTGACTAACCAGTTGCTTAGAAATAAAATTAGGAGGCTGCTTGCAAATTCATTCATTAAATAACACTCAGCCGTGTGTCTCTATTAATATTACGGCAGATATAAGAGTAAGACAGGGCTTCCCAGGTGACGCAGCTACTACAACACAAGTTCGATCCCTGGCCAGGGAGCCGACCCACATGGTCTCTTGTCTTGCCTGCTGCTCCCCTCAGCAGTGGATTTCAGATGATCCACCTGTTCTGCTCCCCACCCTGTCTCTACTGAATCCTCTCAATGCCCCCCAACTTGGACCTCTGGCCTGTACCCCAGTTCTTGTATGCAAAAATAAATAAATCTTTAATAAAAAAAAAAAAAAGCAAGACACCAAGTACTACTATGTAAAGCAATGTGAATTAGAAAGAGTCGTTTCTGATAAAAGGAATATAGTGTTCTTAAAAATCAAAAGTTCTCATAGTAAAATTAAACTGCTCTGAACTGAAGGTATCAATTATCTTTCTGCAACACTGATGTAGGTGATCATACCATGCAATGTATCCTTAGAGAAATGATAATTTCCTTTAAGCAAAGGTGTTTAGTCTTCCAACAACTTTGGCTACATCATTTTTTGTTTGCTTGTTTTCATTTTCTAACAAAATTTGGATGACTTCTTTCTTCAAAATAAGTCAACATTATATTGGTAATATGGGTAGAAATCACAACAAACCCATGATGCATTATTAATGCTAGTGTGCTATAAATGGTAGACGCACTTCAAAAAGTAGATAAATTCGTCGCTACATTAAGAGTCATAAAAGAAAAATCTGAAATATTCTTTTGCAATTAAAAAGTTTTCTTTTTGTAAACTAAACATGTATTTCTGTTTCCATAAAGGAAATACAGAAAATTTGGACAATTCCTACCTTTGAGGACAACCAGAAACCTACGACAGATTCTGGACAACACCTGTGAGCTAACAAGACTGAAAAATTATTGGGTCAGCATGCAGGGAAGGACAGAGACCCAGAGACGTGAGGAGGGAGTATGAAGGTACGTTTTGCCTGTAACATCTGATTCCAGATAAAATAGCTGAAAGGCTGAAGAGCACTTTGATAACCTGGAGAGAAGGGGAGACAGGAATTGGAAGCCAGGATTCTGAAAGCAGAGAATCTTGGCAAACTTGACCATTTTGGTTTGCAAAGGGTTACACCCTAGAAGAAAGGTGGACAGGAAGAAAACTTGCAGAAACCAGGATTTCATTTTTGAAACTAGACTACAGTCAGAAAGCACATATTACTTTTGTTTTACATTTCAAATTAAAAACCAAAAAAGAAATTAAAAATAAAATTGTTTTGTACTTGTAAATAATACAGAAGATGTATTTTAACATGTCCTATACTTTGCTACATATAAAATGTTTTAATTAAAGAAAAGTCAGTTGATTTAACATAGGAGAAATATTTCATCTCATGAATCTCAAAAAAATTCTACCTTCAGTGAAAACCTGAACTAATAATGCATCATGGGTTTGTTGTGATTTCTCCCCATATTATATTACCAATATAATGTTTTATGAACTTTATATTAAAATGATATCAAAGGTTTAGAACTGGCCCTCCCTGGTGGCGCAGTGAGTTAAAGCACAGCTCTAAGAAGCTAAAGCCACTTCAGCATGAGTTCAATCCCCGCCCCGGAAGATGATCACATGGCACTGCAGACATCTCCTGACTCCACCCGTTGCTCCCTTTGGCAGTTTTTTCATCATTTTCCCTGTTCTGCTCCCCACCCTGTCTCTGGTAAATCCTATCACTGCCCTGCACCTCTGGCCTGTACACCAGTTCTATATGAATAAATAAGTCTTTAAAAAAAAAAAGCACAAGGTTTAGAACTATTACCATTAATATAAATAACTTTACTCAAAACTGAACCTTAGAGCAAAGAAATTCTAAATATGAAAGATTCTTTCAAAGCACAGATAGGCAGGATGAAGAAAACAGGTCTCCCTGAAGGTCCTTACCCTAAAGATTCTCTTTATCTTTTAACATCATAACATTTAGTGGGAAAAGAAACATGAAAAATTTTTGCTTCTGAATATTAAAGTTTCACTATTGATATCATACTGTAAGCCCTATAAATAATTTAAAATTTAGCAGAAAAAACAGGACAGACTCAAAATAATCAATGTTACCTACCTAATAAAATTGAAACCGTAAAAAATTAGAACTTTTCAAACACTATTGCTTTTTCCAATTACTTACTTTTAAAAGTATGCTTTTTCTATTTTTACTAAACGGAAATATCTAAGCATACCAAGATGGTAACACTCATCAAATATTAACTATACATCCCCTAATATTCATTTCTATATTTAGTATCTGGTTTCCAGCTAGAATATTCTAAATAAACTCATGCCATGCCAGTATATGACTGAAAAGAATTTAAGGAAATGAAATTTTTCACCTCTAACTTTGGGAAGTTTCCCAGATAAGGTTTTAAGTGCTATAATTATAGAAAAGTAGTACCAGTAATAACCTCAACAGGTCTGCGGAAAAGACAGACAATTCATAAGCACATAGACAAAGCTCAGTAACACAAACACAGGTAGGATTGCTGCCAGTCATTCGCCTCCCTTTCTGCTATCACATTCTCCACATTACACACGAGCCAATTGCCCACATAAAAAGAATTGGAAGTTGAAAGATCAAGAAAGAGAACTTGTAGTTCTTCATGAGATTAGACCTAGTTACTTAACCTTTGTAAGCCTTTTCCTAGTTTTTTTAGAGGGTCACTGCAAGGCTCAAACATGATAAGGAATACGAAAAGGCTTACAGAGAAAAATGCCCCAGATAACCAAACCTTGTGGTTTGTTATGGAGTCTGAACAGCTTGACTAATGGAGTATTTACATTTTCTCTAACTTGAAAATCTTCCTCTTTGGGTACAACTATTAGTACATAATATTTGAAAGTAATATTTCAAAATTTTTAAACCATGGGTTTTGGTAAAGGTTTTTTTTTTATTATTATTAAAAAGGTGATAACTAGAATTTGCAAATTTCATTTGTATCCCACGGCTCGACCCAAATTCCCTTTAGGGAATTATCAGTAATACTTACGCAGATCTGCCTTCTACATCTAGTTTGCCTGGATTGACCCCCTTTTTAGCAAGTATGGAGGACACTTTTTCTGCATCTCCCCTTTCTGCTGCTTTCATCAACCGGTCATCATATTTGTTCCAATCGGTTGCATGCTAGAAAAAGAAAAAGAAAAAGTAAACATGGCATAACATATATACCACAAGAAACAGACTCTCTAGGGAAGGGAGAGGGAAGGGAGGGCAGCACGATATGATACATGACTCCATTTGCTACTGTACCCCAAATTTCCCTGTTCCTGCTGTGTTAACTTCCAGAGAAAGGCAGAATTAGAAAATGTGGCCATAATACACGGTCTAAAAGAAACAATTTTAAACTATTCTCAAGAAAAAATATGTTTCTCATGTTCTTGGCTGTTTGCCTTCAGAGCAAAGACAGGAAATTAATAATTACTGCAGTGCCAGGCCTGAATTACTAAAACAACCCTGGTAAACTAAACTTACCATCCCCACCAATAGAAGACAAGACTCCAGAGACACCAAATGACCTAGGTGGCCAAACCCAAATAAGACTTCTCATGATTTCTGAAGTCACTGGGCTTTTCCTACTCCAACTCACGTTTTCAGATGTGGCTGTGATGACAGCCCAGTAATAGTCTCCCATCCCCAACCCCGTACTTTTTTAAGAGACACTGTTGGAGATTAGTTTATAGAGGTAAGTTACACGGACACACACACACTTCAGAACACAGTTCGTTATCCTATAATGATGAAATGAAAATCCTACATAGAACTAAAACAAACAAAAAACTACTTACTAACAATCCTAATAAAACAACAGATCACTTTCATCATCTTCCTTTTTTGTACATTGACTACTTTTGTTTAAAGATGTTTAATTTTACAAAAACAATGTACCTGCATATGAAAGTGTCCATTTTTTTAAACAGAATTTATCATATGATATGCCTTTTAGTTGTATCTAAGTTATCTTTAGCTTCAATTGGAGAAATACATATTCAAAACATTCTAAAGTAATAACTTTGATCTGTACTTAGTAAGCAAAAATGTCAGAACCTGCAACAGGTCAGAAAACCCAAAATACATGTCATAGGTTCGTTCCCCCATTATCCTAATGAAGCATGTTCCTATCTGGTATGGCTTGGTAGGTTTTGGGGCAGGGGTCAAGGAATGTTCAAAATTTTTTCCATCTACATTCATAGTAATAGCATTCCCAGACCCCCAAAATAGCTAACCAAGTCATACCAAATAGAAATGTTCTACTTTCAGATAGTAGGGGGAATCAATATTTAAACAAGTAAGGTTTTACTCTTTTAAAGTAATTTATGGTAAACATTTTATTAAATTCTGTGCTGAGCCCAATGTAAATTCTAGAACAAAAAAAGATGACTTTTTCACTTAACTTACAAAGCCAACCCTATGTCCATAAGTATAACAAATCTCTATAAATAAAAATACATCATTATGTAAAACATGTTGATCAATATACCTACTATTTCAAAAGCCTCAAAATGACCGTTGCCAAAATAGCAATGTATTCATTAAATATTGAAGTGAAGAATGAATATTAAGAATTGAACATTAAAAAGATAAAAATATTAAAATTTTTATTCATTCCTGAAATGTAATATTTCCATGGAAACTGGTTCAAATGTCTATACAGACTTCAGAGTTATCTCTAAATTAGGCAAATGTGATGATGAACTACAAACTCCCAATTTTGAGTAGAGACTAGCCCTACTCATTGGCTTCAAGTCAAACTCCCTTCTTTAGCTTTAAAACAAAACAACAGATTACTGACTTTGAAATGGGGAGTGGTGGTAGATGTAGGCTTTGGAAACTGTGTTCCCAGATGCCAAAGGAAGAAGTCATGTTTAGTACACAAATACTTGCTCTGCATTGATTAGTTTACCCTTGCAACTAAAACCTCAACTTTCTTTGCAAGTAAACTTGCTGGTAGCTATTCAAGACAATA